CGCTAACTGACAGGCAGGGCAGGTTGGAGGTGGGGTCTGGACCTAAGTATAACGATTGGTGGGAGGAGAAATGGGACACTCGGCATGTTGCATTACGCGGGAAACATACTGCAGAACAACCTTAACTCTGTGATGGAGGATATATAAATCTATCTCATAATTTACAACAGATTATTACACACATATGCCTTAGGCTTCATAACATTACAGCATTAGCCAACCTAAGGTAATGTATATACATCTGTTAATAGGGACCCCTTTCATACTGTCTGTTGATTTAACACCCAAAATAAATATATTATAATGAAACAGGCAGGGAGCAGGTCTCGAACCCCCAACCTTCTAGCCCTAAATCGAGCGCGCCATAGACCGTGCCCCAAAAGCATGCGCCGTGGCAGTCAATATCGGCGCTTAAAAACCCAGTGTCGTTACAATATTATAGGCTCCTTTAAACTCTATTAAAACTGAGGAGGTTCGGTTTAATAAATTAATAGCCCTTTGGGCCTACACACTCAATGTACCTAGTGTTGTTCACTGTGTAAGGAAAGTGTTCTGGCACTTGCGCTTCATCGTGGGACCCTCTGGTCCTTTGACTTGCGGCAAGTAGTCTAGGGTTAAGAGCGCTGGGCCAGTAACCAAAAGGTCGTGTGTGTGTGACCCAGCGTGGGTGGGATGACAAATGGCCTGGGCAGAGAGAGAGAGAGCGCGCAGAGCACCACCTCAACCCTGGCTGGCGCTGGGGCTGGCTCTGGCTGACACAATTTTCACTGGTGCACTCATGTGGAGAGAGAGACAGGAGTAGCTGTCTAGTAGTGCACTCACTGAGACAGAAAGCCATGCTCCTATAGGCCTAGCCAGACCTATTCACTGGGGTTGACTTCCAATGAGATCAACGACATAAAAAGTAAATCCTTGCTTGGATAAACCTGAAACTTGGGCTAGGACCAACCTTACCTTCTACTCAGACAGTATTTTATTTAACCATTGAACTCCCATTGAGGTCAGAAGACCTCTTTCCTAAGGGAGACCTGACCGCATTTTTCGGTTAGAAAAAAAGCAAGGCTGTTATAGGCATAGATAATGTTTTAGTAGGCTACTGTGCACAACAACCAGCTGTCTCTGTGTGAATGCTGTAATGTGTTTTTTTTTTTAAATAAACGCTTTCAGCCATTGACAAACCTCAGGTGATGATTGAAGGTCTCTTTAGTGCTGCTGGCCGCTACACAGTCTCACCTGCTGTCTGCTGTTTACAGGCACCAACTGTTCACCGATAGGGAGGAAAACTGCCTTTTGACAATTCTCTCTGGATGTGTTCATTGTTGAGTATTTCTCTGTAAGTAAGTTCTCTCAGAGCAAATTATGAGTAACATTTTTTTTTTTACCTTGATTTGTCCAGGTTAGTCTTTATTGTGATTAACATGTGTTTTATAAGAGACCCAGATGGCAGCATTGTCCCAGTGCTATATGTAACTACAATGTTACGAAGTAAATATGGATAGAATGCTTTACTGTTCAAAATATATTGTTCAGTGACCTTGTTGGACAATCAAGGACATGTGAGCATCATGAATCCATTCATGGTCATACTACATTGTTATTGCAATGTTTTAAAGTATGTACTAGTGTGTGAAATGCCTACTTTGAGAGATCTTGTTCAGTGACCTTATTGGATGATCAAGGACAGGTGATCAGCATGGTTACATGGTCATACAGATGTACTAATCACCAATGCATTTTGGTGAAGCACTTTATTTTCGCATGAGATCTCACAGGAAACCAGAGAGTTTGCGCAACACTCATTCTGAAAACAATGCAGTCCTCCCTCTTGCCCCTCAGAGCAACAGACAGATAATGAGACAGACCAGAACAGAACAGCAAGCCATGCACTAGTATTATATAACCCCCTTTGTGTTTTAACAGTCTGTCCGTGGCCTGCATTAGCAATCTAAAAAACGGCCTAAGATTGAATATCTCAGACCAGGCAGGGAGTCCCTTTGCAATTACTTCAAGGTAAAGAAAGACCTGCTATGCCACTGATGCTGAATAAAAATACTATTGCATTACTTCCCCTTTTCCTGGTGACACTAACACCAGTTCAACCACAGAGCGAGAGAACCTAGAACTTTGAAACAGATGAATAGAATACTCTGAGGTAATACTGTGTGTTTGAGTGCAGTCAGTGGCAGTCAAGACATTGCTGCATCGGTCCATTGCAATATTTATACAGGATACACTGATCTCAGAGATATGCAGCCTTGAGTTCAGTATGTCAGTGAGATATAGATGTCTGTACGGTTTATGTTAAGAGTTCTACAACTAGAGTTCAAACATTGAGTTCTAGAACTAGAGTTCAAATGTAAGCGGAGCAGCTCAGACAAAGGCTCTGTGTGTGGCGACCAGGCACTGAAGTAGACTGAAGTGGATGCTGTTATGGTCAGTCATGTATGCAACATCCGTCTTTTCTTTGGAAGCAGAAACAATACTCTGGTGTTAAATATGGGGTTCTTGGGTCATTAAGCCACACAAAGCACCTCCCAACTGTACTCTACTGTTCTTCTCACCAAGTCATTTTGAAGGATGCACCACAACTGCTAGGCACACTTATTAATAAATCAATGCCTTTAAATTGTGTTTGCACAGCTCCGCTTTCTCAATAATGATCTGAGAGACTAGTCCAGGACCTGAGCCAGATATAAAGCGAACAAGAGTGTGAGCCAGTAGACAATTCATTCCAGTTGTATATTTTTGTTCATTAAACTGAGCTTCCTCAATGGGACCAGTAGCTTCGGATTTGGACGTGTAAGAATTGTAATGTAATTGGAACATGTCAGCCCAATACATTCCAGAAACCTGCCCCCGATAGAAGTGTCAGATGCTTCATCAATAACTCCCACCTGCAGTCACAGGGAGGAAATGTGTCTCAAATTAACACATGCAGAGGAAACCCCCAGGTGTGTAGAAACTCATTTTAACGAACACATACTAAAACCCTTCCAATTTAAGTGTGTGTGTGTCATGCGTCATGTGTCAACCTACAGTGAGAAAATGTGTGTCAAATTATCACATATCAAGGGGGGAAAAAACAGGTCTGAGTGGAGCTTATATGGAACCGTGTGTGTGTGTGTGGAAAGCCCCAGGTTGATGTTGATAAAGAACCCCCTGCTGAGTTCACTTCCTGCCAAGTCCCAGGATGGTGACATGTACTCATCCCTCTGAACACCTGCAGCATGACTACACACACACAATCCCCACCCACCCACACACACACACCCCCACACACAGGAAGCCCCAGCGCTACTCCCCCAGCCCCTCTAGACACTCTTTAAACACAGTGTAGGAAAACAAGGAAGCACGTTCTACTTTATGTCTTTAGTCTTTACTGACGGGTCCATTGATTTATGCAACATACAAACAGGTCTGTGTTGTGTGTGTGTGTGTGTGTGGGATGTTTCTGAGCGAGGCTTGCATCCCAAATGGCACCCTATTCCCTATATAGTGCACTGCTTTTGACCAGAGCCCCCATAGTGCCCTATTCCCTACATAGTGCACTACCTTTGACCAGAGCAAAAGTAGTGCACTATATAGGGAATAGGGTGCCATTTGGGATGCAGACAGTTTCCAAGAGGAGCGGACCAACCGACACGGCTGAGCACATCGCTACACGTGCTGCAGCTGCTGCTGATGATGGGAGAAGGGGGGGGAAGCACCCTCCAAAAGGCACAGACGAGCTCCGAAACAAACACTAGGGGTAGCAGTTAGAGTCCAAGGGAATTCAACTCCAGGCCTGGAACGCTAAACTACTCCTGGCTTTCTTTTCTACCCTGGTTGTTAGTGAGTTGATTGATTGATTAATGTGTCTGATTGGCCAGAGAGTCTAATTAGTCTCTGATTAGAAGGAGAGCGAGAAGGAAAACCAGGAGTCTTCTGTTCCTCCCGGACTGGAGTGGACTATCCCTTGTGGAGTAGGGCAGAGACTGAAGAGAGGAGGAAACGGCATATACAAAAATAACCTTTAGAATACAATTTACAAAAAGAACATTATTATTATTACACAATCTTGAGCCCGTTTGCCATCTCAGCAAGAGGGTGGCGCGATGCCAGGTCCAGCAGATTAAAAACGTTTAAACATAATTAGAACAAAAAGGAACAAAACCCTGCAATATTTGCTAGAAACAAGAGGGCAAATAATTTCCAGTTGGAGGAACATTGGGGAGAGGGAAGGGTGTCATGGACAGACTTCTTACATCTTCTGTTAATAAGAATATTTAGAGATAGCAAATTTGAAATATTATATACCTAGTTGCCCTGTACATTTATAAAACAATGCATATATAGCTATCGAGAAGTTAGCAAAGAAAAGAAAGTGAAAGAAAATAATATATCAGTAGTCCTCTGTCCCTGGCGATACATGTATTCTTCTGTATTGTCATAATACAAGTCTAAAAGTACAGAAGCTGAGAAAGTCAAGTATTTTTCTGGGATAGAGAACACAAAAAACGGAACCAGGATCCAATGTGTGACGGATTGTTTCTGACTAAGAGTCAAATCCTAACTTGCACTTAAGTCAAATTCTCTCCCATTCACATCATCATGACCGAGTGAAAATTCAACTTAAATGGAAGTTAGGATTTGCCCTGAAGGGAATAAGGCAGGTTTGTATGGTCCCAGCAGAGAAGGTGAGAAGATAAAAGGGTGTCCCAAATGACACCCTATTCCCTATGTAGTACACTACTTTTGACCAGAACCCTATGTGCCCTGGTCAAAAGTAGTGCACTATATAGGGAATAGGGTGCCATTTGGGAAACACATTATAGCACCAGCACACAGAGAGCCCCTGGCAACTGGCACAAGTACAGAAGAAAGGTGTACCGTTGCATCCTGGGTAGATTATCTGAATTGCTTTGCAGATTGTGTTTTAGGCTTCGTCCCAAATGGAGCCCTATTACCTACATGCACAAGACTGCCGCATTAGTCTCTGGCCAAAGATATAGTGCACTATATAGGGAATAGGGTGCCATTTCAGATCTGCCCTATTAGTTAGTTAGGAAAAGGTGGCAGTGTCCAAGGATGGGGCAGCACCCAGTCATCTCCTTCATACACAGTGGCACTTGAAAGAGACAAGGTGGGGATAAAGGAGGATTTGGAGGGTGGAGGGGGGCAGTGAAGGGGGCGTTGGCAAAGCAAGAGGAGACTATAGGTAGAAGCCATGATCATGTCCACTGTGTAGGGGGGTCCCTGGGGCCTTTGGGTTGTGTGCAGCGGTTACCGTATCCTGGAAGACAAGAGAAGAACAGTGTTATGATTAAAGCGTTTGGGAGTTTTTCAGGCCACGTCATCTGACCAGGAAAAATTCTGGTTCTAGGTTGTGGTTCTATGTTTTGACTAGAAACAAGAGTTTTCCTGGTCAAGTCACATGGTCAGGAACAACTCAGGGCCCTAGTTATAGTAAACAACTACAGACACAACATGACCATATTTACTATTACTTTCCTCCCTCCTCCTCCTCCTCCTCCTCCTCCTCCCTCCTCCTCCTCCTCCTCCTCCTCCTCCTCCACCTCCTCCTCCTCCTCCTCCTCCACCTCCACCTCCTCCTCCTCCCACCCACCCATCTCTGAGGCAGCCTTGCTCTCTGCTGTGCAGTCTGCTACTGTGGTGTTGGCAGGTGATGTTTCCACTCCTGCTGCGTCTGGAATCTTCTTACTTCTCTCTCCTGACGGGTCTAGGACAAACACACAGTGTCAGGTTCCCCTGTCTGGCACAAGCACGCACACACACACACACACACACACACAGGCACACACACACACCACACACAGGCACACACACACGCACACACACACACAGGAACACACACACACACACAAACACAGCACACACACACACGCACACACACACACACACACACGCACGCGCGCACGCACACACACACACACACACACACACAACATCCTGCTGTTCCTTTGATAAATGCCTACACACTCATTTCAGGGTAATTTGTGCAACAGCGAATGCCTCCATGTATCCCTTTAGCAGACTAACTAGGACACCTAATAAAGCCAAGCAGGTGAAAGATAAGCTTGGAGAAGTGTCAGATAAATACTACATTGGTAATTAGGTTACAGAGACAGACTGCCTCTCTGCTCCCAACTCCAGACCCAGAAACTCCAGACAGAAACCCCAGACAGACAGAACCCCAGACAGACAGAACTCCCAGACAGACAGAACTCCAGACATGACCTTTTAGCTCTTTTAATTACATGAATGATTCATGTTCATGGAGATCTGTGAGGGTGATCATGAGAGTAATTATGGGAGCATAGGGAGGGATAGCCAGGGACCAGGAGGGAGGGATAGCCAGGGACCAGGGACAGCCAGGGACCAGGAGGGAGGGACAGCCAGGGACCAGGAGGGAAGGACAGCCAGGGACCAGGAGGGAGGGACAGCCAGGGACCAGGAGGGAGGGATAGCCAGGGACCAGGAGGGAAGGACAGCCAGGGACCAGGAGGGAAGGACAGCCAGGGACCAGGAGGGAGGGACAGCCAGGGATCAGGAGGGAGGGATAGCCAGGGACCAGGAGGGAGGGACAGCCAGGGACCAGGAGGGAGGGACAGCCAGGGACCAGGAGGGAGGGACAGCCAGGGACCAGGAGGGAAGGACAGCCAGGGACCAGGAGGGAAGGACAGCCAGGGACCAGGAGGGAGGGATAGCCAGGGACCAGGAGAGAGGGATAGCCAGGGACCAGGAAGGAGGGATAGCCAGGGACCAGGAGGGAGGGATAGCCAGGGACCAGGAGGGAGGGATAGCCAGGGACCAGGAGGGAGGGATAGCCAGGGACCAGGAGGGAGGGATAGCCAGGGACCAGGAGGGAGGGAAAGCAGCTTGGTAATATCATCCCCATTGTCTCTCCGCTGGGAATGGATCATGGTCTACAGTAGTGTTAAGTCTGTGTAGGGGGAACTGGGAATGGATCATGTTCTTCAGTAGTGTTAAGTCTGTGTAGGGGGAATAGGAATGGATCATGGTGTACACACACACAGATTTATTTTCGTGAAATATCTGAACTTTTTGGGGAGTAAAAATGTTTGAACATTAAAAATCCAATTTTCCCTAAACCTAACCCTTAAGCTTAGAACAGCATTTGAACAAATTCAGGACATTAAAAAAGTCCTGACTTTTCAAAAAAGTACTTATTTTCCTACCTTGTCAGGACATTGGGGTGAATTGTGAGGACACTGGGGTCCTGATAAGTATGAAAACAAGTACACACACCACACACACACAGACACCTCTGTACCCCCCCACACCCTACAAACACACTCTTTTCCCTCCACCTCATTCATTAACAATACCCTCTGTCTCTGTGTCTACACATCAAACAGCAGAACAGAGGGATGTTTTACAGCCAAACCCCTGCTCTCCCCTAATCACCCATCTGAACATCAAACAGCAGAACAGAGGGATGTTTTACAGCCAAACCCCTGCTCTCCCCTAATCACCCATCTGAACATCAAACAGCAGAACAGAGGGATGTTTTACAGCCAAACCCCTGCTCTCCCCTAATCACCCATCTGAACATCAAACAGCAGAACAGAGGGATGTTTTACAGCCAAACCCCTGCTCTCCCCTAATCACCCATCCGAACATCAAACAGCAGAACAGAGGGATGTTTTACAGCCAAACCCCTGCTCTCCCCTAATCACCCATCTGAACATCAAACAGCAGAACAGAGGGATGTTTTAAAGCCAAACCCCTGCTCTCCCCTAATCACCCATCTGAGAGGGAGGGACAAAACCACATCTGAGACTGACTTGGGGCCCAAATGGCACCCTATTCCCTTTATAGTGCACTACTTTCGACCCCCCTCGTGCCATCAGAGGCAGCATGGGCGGCCAATAATTTATCCCAAACACGTGAAGAGATGAGCCACCTACCTCTCTCTGCTATCTGTGCCTGTGTACTCCTCTGCTCCTGTGGAAAGAGACAGAGGGAAGAGTTGATGGTGAAGAGATGTAGAGACAGAAGGAGGGTGTATCACAATGGAACATATATAGTAGCCTAACGCAGTTGTTCCTGCCTAGTACTAACACACCACATTCGACGCATCGTCAAGCCCTTAATTAGTTGAATCAGGTCTGCTAGTACTGGGCGGCAACAAAACCCTGCACACCCTGTGGGTCCCCCGAAGCAGGACTGGAGAACAGTGGTCTAGAGGTTGTTTCTATAAAGCTGGTGATAATGGTCTTCACCTGAGGAAAACCTGGTCCTTTTCCTGACTGGTCCTCTGAAATACTCCAGTCTGATGATCCTGGTGCCTTTAACTCTGAGGGGTCTGGAGATGGACATAGAGAGAGAGAGAGAGAGCGAGGAGAGAGAGAGAGAGAGAGAGAAAGTAAAAGACAAGAGAGAGACTTCCATAGAGACACACCATAAACACAATGAAACAGTCGCCCTATATATTGAGTAGCCTCAAGTGCCAGGCTTCTAGGCTGCAGACACAAGAGTATGTCTGGCCACAAGAGACTTCTCTTTTAGAACGTCTTTATTTACCTCTCTGACTTCCTCATTCATTCCATTGTAGCTGTAACTGTTCTTACATGCTGGAGGTCATTTAAGCACCAATTACGACTGTTCCGTCTCCTCGGCTCTTAATGGTTCACCCTGCCCTTCAACGTCTTCATTGTGTGTTTAAAACTAGTTATAAATGTAAAACTAGCTGTAAATGTAAAACTAGTTGTACATGTAAACTAGTTGTAAATGTAAAACTAGTTGTAAATGTAAACTAGTTGTAAATGTAAAACTAGTTGTAAATGTAAACTAGCTGTAAATGTAAAACTTGTTGTAAACCAGCTGTAAATGTTAACAAAGTGTAAACATAAACTAGTTGTACACATAAAATAGTTGTACATGTAAACGAGTTGTAAACGTTAACTACTTGTAAACGTAAAAATAGTTGTACATGTAAACTAGGTATACATGTAAAACTAGTTGTAAACGTAAACTTGTTGTAAACGTAAACTAGTTGTAAACATAAACTAGTTGTAAACATAAACTAGTTGTACATGTAAAACTACCTGTAAATGTAAACTAGCTGTAAATGTTAAACTCGTTGTAAACCAGCCGTAAATGTTAACTAATTGTAAACATAACATAGTTGTACATGTCAACTAGTTGTAAATGTACAACTAATTTTAAATGTAAAATTAGCTGTACATGTAAACTAGTTGTAAACGTTAACTAGTTGTAAACGTAAAACTAGTTGTAAATGTAAACTAGTTATACATGTAAAACTTGTTGTAAATATGTATATATGCAGTCTTGTGATCTTTTTCTATTCTATTATTTTACTTAGTATTATTAGTATTATTAGTAGTATTAGTATTAGTACTATTTCACTCACTTCTCTTTGACCTGCATGTTGGAGCTCGGAGCTTAAGAATTTCACTGTACCCTGTGCATGTGACTAATAAACTCTGATTTGATAACGGTCCCGAACACACACCAGTACTAATGAGAGCCTGCTAATTCCAGAGAACGCTAACTGCCAGCTCAGTGAGTCAATTAACTCTGCCCTCCATCCCTGTCTCGCTCCATCCATTCATCACTCCCTCCATCCCTTCACAGCTGCACAGGGCTGAGGCTGCCCTGCAGGCAAGGGGTTCTGGGAAGTGGGCATAGTTCCGAGCCGAATCATAACAGTTGGAGAAGGGGGGGATTTAGAGCCGAACCATTAGAGGAGAGTGAGGGGTGGGACTCTGGATTGAGCGAAACAGGGTTATTTGCCATTTCTCTCCTGGCACAAAAGGCTCCTTAACCAACTCCACCTTGGTAATTGTGGCACCGCATTATCATCTGTGTAACAAAGTTAACAAACAAACAAAAACAAACTTGCATTGAGAACCAGTCAGTAGCCTTGCGGTCTGTGGTGAAAATAGCGCAGCTATCTGGAGGCTATGATGAAAAGTTATAATTGGGGAAATGTCCATAACCATTACCCTCGGAGCTGGACCCAGTTAAACTCTGCTTATAAGGATCTCTAGAATGAATTATCTGGTGGTCCTGCAACTTCTGTCCTTGGGTCTAATGATATCACCATAGTTTCAATGTCAGTCATGTACTACTGCTGTTGCTGGGGATATCCGACCATCTGAGCTGATCTATAAAACTCAGGACCCTAGTTGTACTTGTAGGCTATACCTGGGGCCTGGAGTACTCCTGGTCTGGTCATATGGTGATGAAAACCTCCTGGCCCTACGTACGTCCCGAGTTTGAGTGGTGTGCTGTTAGGACACTAAGGAGTTTCAGTGGTGTGCTGTTGGAAGGACACTAAGGAGTTTCAGTGGTGTTCTGTTGGAAGGACACTAAGGAGTTTCAGTGGTGTGCTGTTAGGACACTAAGGAGTTTCAGTGGTGTGCTGTTAGGACACTAAGGAGTTTCAGTGGTGTGCTGTTAGGACACTAAGGAGTTTCAGTGGTGTGCTGTTAGGACACTAAGGAGTTTCAGTGGTGTGCTGTTGGAAGGACACTAAGGAGTTTCAGTGGTGTGCTGTTGGAAGGACACTAAGGAGTTTCAGTGGTGTTCTGTTGGAAGGACACTAAGGAGTTTCAGTGGTGTGCTGTTGGAAGGACACTAAGGAGTTTCAGTGGTGTGCTGTTGGAAGGACACTAAGGAGTTTCAGTGGTGTGCTGTTGGAAGGACACTAAGGAGTTTCAGTGGTGTGCTGTTGGAAGGACACTAAGGAGTTTCAGTGGTGTGCTGTTGGAAGGACACTAAGGAGTTTCAGTGGTGTGCTGTTGGAAGGACACTAAGGAGTTTCAGTGGTGTGCTGTTGGAAGGACACTAAGGAGTTAAGGAGTTGGTCTCAGCTGTTTTGGGCACCTGAAGGCTTTTGAATGATGGTGTCTGGCTTACATCTGTAGACTGGATATATACTGCCGAGAATCAGAGATAAGTTAATTAAAAAGCCCGTAATTTCATTTTTGTGCTCTCTCAACAACAGTCATATCAAAACTAATCTGGAATAGAGTTCTGAAGCTGAGATGACTGATTGAGAAGTGAAGGCAAACCCATCAATGTTCAGGGTCTGCAGAGTTGTTTATGGCGCCCTCTTGTGTCAAGCCACCACACTGCAGCAGAAGACATCAGGCAGACCAGGGGGTGGAGCCAGTCCTGGAGGGCTTTAGAATGCCAGAAGGTGCAGGTTTTTGTTCCAGCCCAGCTATAAAACCCTCAATTCACATTTTCACCGTCTAAATAGGAGACTATGATTAGTTGATCATTTTAATCTGGAACAAAAGCCTGCAACACAGTGGCTCTCCAGGATGTTGGAAATTGCAGACCCTCCCTTGTCTGTAGTCTCATGATGCCATACATCTTACTACATCTCACCATTCCTGATGTAGGAGACCAAGACTGGGAGATCAAGTTGATCCCCAGTTGATCCCTTGTCTCGGACCGTTAAAACACACCTGTGGCCAAAATGAAGGACTCTGGGGTTCTCTCAGGTAGAGGGGGAGGGGAATCTTCACTCTGGTCACTGTCTGGGTCAGAGGTCAGAGTACAGCAGGGGTTACTACCAGGGGTCAAAGGTCAAATCGATGGTCAATCGGCAGCCAATCAACAATCAAACGACAGCGACAAACAGTAAATCTGAAATGGCGCCCTATTCCTAATGGTTAAGTGCACTACTTTTAGCCAGAGTCCTAGGTAAAGTATTTCAGATGCAGCCAGAGAGACAAGCTCAGAATACATCATCCCAGATCAGAGCCATAACCACCACAAACCAAGACAATGCGCCCACAAAGCCAAGCACAGCCAAAATCAACGCCAAACCATTCCATCATTCCCATCAAATCACAGCTGTTTAAATCACAAGCAAAGACATCATACAATCAGAGATCAGGTGATTTTGAGATCATGATTAGGATATCGCTTGATTCCCATCAGCTGCCTTTGCTCAAAACCACACATCACATCTCCGGGCAGTGAAGTGACGGTCAGGCCGTTGGTCATAGCGTGGCAATACAGGAGACTTTACACCCGTGCACATGGTTGGTTGGTATACATGCATTGTTCCCCCCTCCCTCCCTCCACACACACATCCATCCCAGCCCCCCACCGATCCACCTTCCAGGACCCACTGAAACATCTCCTGGTGCTTGACCACTAGCGAGTTCTCTGTCTAACGCACACTCCCTCAGCTCATCCTAGCCTGACCTCTCACAGCACTCTCCTCCATCCCTTCCTATATGGATCCCCTCCTCCCTTCACCCCTATATCCATCCTTCCATCCCTCCTGATGAATCTTTCCACATCAACTATCCTCCCAGACACCGTCTGCTTCCTCACGCGCTCTCACACCCAGCCTGACACTACTCTGTCTGACAAGGGCACGGAGGGAAACACGCAAGCAGAATAAGGGTCCAGGAGACATTTTTCATTGTGAAAACACATTATTCAGCTGTAGTCGATTGTGCTTAGCTTCAAGTTATCCACACCACTCACCTGCTAGCAGAGCCATTTGTGCAGGCGCAGGCTACTTTAGCGCCTGTCTATTGCCTGGCTCCTCTAGCGTGTCTAGTCTCCTCTCCTGTCTGAAACACCCCGTTGAGCCCTAGCAAACATCTCTCCGTTTCTGAATATACCGTTGAGCCCTGCACAACTATCTCTCCAGTCTGACAACTACCCTGTTGAGCCCTAGCACACTCTCTCTCTAAACACCCGTAGCCTACACGTCTCTCCTGTCGAACACCCCGTTGAGCCCTAGCAAACGCCATCTCTCCTGTCTGAAACACCCCGTTGAGCCCTAGCAACGTCTCTCCTGTCTGAAACACCCCGTTGAGCCCTAGCAACGTCTCTCCTGTCTGAAACACCCGTAGCCTAGCAACGCTCCCTGTCTGAACACCCGTGAGCCCTAGCAACGTCTCTCTCTCCGTCTGAAACACCCCGTTGAGCCGCTCTCTCCTGTCTGAAACACCCCGTTGAGCCCTAGCAACGTCTCTCCTGTCTGAAACACCCCGTCTGTCTCTCCTGAAACACCCTAGCAACATCTCTCCTGTCTGAAACTACCCGTTGAGCCCTAGCAACATCTCTCCAGTCTGAAATACCCTGTTGAGCCCTAGCAACGTCTCTCCTGTCTGAAACACCCCGTTGAGCCCTAGGCAAACGGTCTCTCCTGTCTGAAACACCCCGTTGAGCCCTGGCAACGGCCCTCTCCTGTCTGAAACACCCCGTTGAGCCCGTAGCAACCGTCTCTCCTGTCTGAAACACCCCGTTGAGCCCCTAGCAAACGTCTCCTCCTGTTCTGAAACAACCCCATTGAGCCCTAGCAACGTCTCTTCCTGTCTGATGAAAACACCCCTTGAGCCCTAGGCACCGTCTCTCCTGTCTGAAACACCCCCGTGGAGCCCTAGCAACGTCTCTCCTGTCTGAAACACCCCGTTGAGCCCTAGACCAACATCTCTCCTGTCTGAACACCCCATTGAGCCCCTAGCAACGTCTCTCCTGTCTGGAAACACCCCGTTGAGCACTAGCAAAAATCTATCCTGTCGGAAACAACCCGGTTGAGCCCTACCAACGTCTCTCCTGGTATGAAATACCCACGTTGGAGCCCTAGCAACGTCTCTCCTGTCTGGAAACACCCCGTTGAGCCCTAGAAACGTCTCTCCTGTCTGAAACACCCTGTTAAGCCCTAGCAACATCTCTCCTATCTGAAACACCCTGTTGAGCCCTAGCAACGTCTCTCCTGTCTGAAACACCCTATTGAGCCCTAGCAACGTCTCTCCTGTCTGAAACACCCTGTTTAAGCCCTAAGCAACATCTCTCCTATCTGAAACACCCTGTTGAGCCCTAGCAACGTCTCTCCTGTCTGAAACACCCTGTTGAGCCCTAGCAACATCTCTCCTATCTGAAACACCCTGTTGAGCCCTAGCAACATCTCTCCTGTCTGAAACACCCTGTTGATCCCTAGCAACATCTCTCCTGTCTGAAACAACCCTGTTGAGCCCTAGCAACGTCCCTCCTGTCTGAAACACCCTGTTGATCCCTAGCAACATCTCTCCTGTCTGAAACACCCTGTTGAGCCCTAGCAACGTCTCTCCTGTCTGAAACACCCCGTTGAGCCCTAGCAACGTCTCTCCTGTCTGAAACACCCTGTTGAGCCCTAGCAACATCTCTCCTGTCTGAAACACCCCGTTGAGCCCTAGCAACGTCTCTCCTGTCTGAAACACCCTGTTGATCCCTAGCAACATCTCTCCTGTCTGAAACACCCTGTTGAGCCCTAGCAACATCTCTCCTGTCTGAAACACCCCGTTGAGCCCTAGCAACGTCTCTCCTGTCTGAAACACCCCGTTGAGCCCTAGCAACGTCTCTCCTGTCTGAAACACCCTGTTGAGCCCTAGCAACGTCTCTCCTTGGGGAAAGCAGAAACAGCCTGGTACATTACAGTCTGTGTCCCAAATGGCACCCTTTTGTCAAAAGTTGTGCACTATATAGGGAACAGGGTGCCATTTGGGATGCAACCTACACTGCAAACCAGCTCAGTCGTGGGGCAGCTGGGGGTCCGCAGAACACATTAGCCCTGTTTGCACCATGGACAGATGTAAGATTCATCTATGCTTTGGCCCCCAGAGCACCGCTAACGGCCCACTTCCAATGGGGTGGCACGCAGGCAAACACACACACACACACACACACACCTCCCCCGCCAAGCACTGATGGTCAGAAAGCGCCACATGCCATGAGCTCAAAGAAACCAACAGCAGAGCCTGTAGCCACACACCATCAGATGTCTACTCCTCCTCACCTTCAGAACATTTCACATCATCAACAAATCATCCAATAGAAGCATCAGACTGTCTGAAAAGACTTACCATTACCCCTCTCAACATAACCCCATCTAAGACTTACCATTACCCCTCTCAACATAACCCCATCTAAGACTTACCATTACCCCTCTCAACATAACCCCATCTAAGACTTACCATTACCCCTCTCAACATAACCCCATCTAAGACTTACCATTACCCCTCTCAACATAACCCCATCTAAGACTTACCATTACCCCTCTCAACATAACCCCATCTAAGACGTACCATTAGCTCTTTCCTCCCACTCAGCCCGCCCCACCTCCCACATTAACCTGTAGACATAACCCCACCATTTTTACATAACCCCACTCAGCATCCTGTCCTGTTCTGTCCCTTCACTGTCACAGAATACTGCGGTAACTCCAACTTGAGCCTTTGACATGTAGTCTATAGCCTAAACCCTAAGCCAGGGCCTGCCAGAGCAGGCGTAATATGGGCCTATCCACCATCTAATAACATTGATAGTGTGGGCTACACTATCGTGCCGTGATCTGTTTATTTGACCTCCAGTGAGACACCATTATGTGTGTGTGTCTTGTCCTCATTCTACAGTGGACTAGGACTGGGTTACCATGGTAAAATGGCAGATTACGCATTTACTGTACTTCAGAAAATGAGTGACTATAGCAGGTCAGAGTTGGACGAAGAAATTCCGAAAAAAAATCAGTTTATTGACACTTCTTTTGGGGGGGGGGGGTTACATTACATAATTAGTTCCATGGTTTAACAAGTTTTATAACAATATATTCAATGTATCCAGACAGTATCTGTTTTAGACATAATTAAAATGTTCATTCTCCACATAAGCAGTCCATAAGCAAGTCTGTGTGTATATAATTAGTCTATATTTCAAGCCAGTGGTCTGAGACTGTCAGTTGGACTGAACATTAGTCTATATTTCAAGCCAGTGGTCTGAGACTGTCAGTTGGACTGAACATTAGTCTATATTTCAAGCCAGTGGTCTGAGACTGTCAGTTGGACTGAACATTAGTCTATATTTCAAGCCAGTGGTCTGAGACTGTCAGTTGGACTGAACATTAGTCTATATTTCAAGCCAGTGGTCTGAGACTGTCAGTTGGACTGATCAGTCTCCATTGTCCCTGGCAGTGCTGTGTGTTAATATAGATCTGTGGTCTACATGCCTCGTCTGTCTGTGTGTGTGTGTCTAGATGGCCTTGGACAGCGTGTCATTACAGTGTGGTCTGCCAGTGCCCTCTTGGCCACGGACGTAGTCTCCAGCTCAACACAAACTGACCCTAGATCTGCCTGTCAGTCTATATTCAACCCAGGCTGACGACTCAGTGGACTGAACTTCTTATTTCAGCACAATAGGACCGAACCAGACCACTGGTTCAAACAGTGGTTGAATTCAGTTGGACAACTTAGTTGTTATATCTCCCTGGAAGTGCTACAACATTGTCCATTGCCCCAGGCGAACTCATGGATAACCTAGATATAGCCAGTGGTCTGAACTGAGTTGACAAATAGTTTATTAAACCAGTTGGACACTTCAGTTGGCCATGCTCACCAGCATGCTTCTTCACATGTAGTCTGTTCACCATAGTCTGTGTCAGTCGAATTAGTCTAACCAAGCCAGTGTCAACTGTAGTTGGGAGGAATGTTTAGTTATAAAATGCCCTAACGTCCATGGACTGTATCTCCTGTTTCCTGGCAGTGCCGTTGTTAATGATGGACTGGTCTACACCGTTGCCTGTGCGTGTGTTCGGCCATGGCCGCCTGTCAACCGTGGTCGTCGTGCCCTTGGCACCCTGAGGGCCCAAATTGGTCCATTGCCCCCAGGCAAGCTCAGATAAAGCCCAGATATAGTATTTGAAATGATTTCAAATAGTGTTTAAACCCAGCTCTGACCCTCACTCCCAGCCCCAGCCCATCTTCTATCCCTGTGTCTGGTCCCTAGTCTGTTTCAGTCAGTAGTACCACATCCCAACTGAGAGTTAGGGAGGTAGGTTAGTTAGTAAAAGCCCTAACGTCACCACGTACTTGATGCCGTTTCCGTCGGCGACCGTTGCCCGGCGATGGACATGGTCGACACCTTCCTGTGCGGGTGTTCGCCATGGGCCGCCGTAACCGTGGCCGTTGCCTTGGAGGACCATGAAGGTCTGGAACTCTCCCCTCCTCCTACTCCAGTGATCCCTCCATCTCCCATCACATCAGGGAAGTCTGAGTGCAGAGGGTTGGTGAAGCTCAGAGCAGTCCTGACAGGGGTGGAGGTGGAGGAGAGAGGCTGGGAAGAGGTCAGATTGGAGGTGGGGGTGCTCTCTGACCCAGCCACCAGGGCTGGAGGTGTGGGGGCTTTCTCGGGGCTGATCCAGCCTGCCTGACCCACCTTCTCCCCCGTAAGGGGCAGGTGGTTGGGGCGGGCGGGGAGGGGTCCAAAGGCACCCTGGTACGTTATGATGTCGGCCCCTGAGTCCTCAGAAAAAGAGGAACTAGAGGTGTTGGAGCGGGTCTTGAAGGCATGGGATCTATGCAGCTTGCTGTTACCATCGAAGCTCTTAGGACCCTCCTGTAACGGTACCTTCTGTATCTCAATACTCAACTTCCTCTCCAGACGCACTGAACCGTCCGCTGGGGAGGGGGAGGAGGGAGAGGGGGCCTGGGCTGGGGGGCCTCCTGGGGAGACACTGTCCAACGATGTCTTTTCTGAAGTCTTGTTATAGTTCTCCTTCAGATCGGGGGACTGATGGGCGTTCTGGGGCTGCTGTTTGTGCTGAGGCCAGGACGTGGATGACAGGCTTGGGGTGGTAGCGGTCGTTGTCCTGCCGTACGTTGGTGACGTGGGGAAGGCAGAGGGGGGAGACGGGGTGAGGATGGGAGGAACCGGGCGTGGCTCTGGGGGCTGAAGGATCTCTTCTTTCACGTCCCCTTCCAACTGACTGCTGAGAGAGAGAGAGAGAGAGAGAGAGGGGGGAGAGAGAGAGAGAGAGGGGGTGGGGGGAGAGAGGCGAGAGGGGGGAGAGAGAGAGCGAGAGGGGGAGAGAGAGAGGAGAGATAGAGAGAGAGAGAGCATACAGTTGTATAGGAATTCTTATTACTTTATGGCAGAATATTTAAAAATGCCTTTACCAAGTCTAGAATAGAGAGAAAGATCCATACAGTTAATAGGAATTCCAACTTAATATTTATGCAAAAATGTAAAAATGTCTACCACTAGATGGCAGACTTCATTGTACACTAGAATATAAAGCTAAAATAATTTCTACATCAAAAACAACTTCTCCAAACGTACATAATTTCATGGATTTACCACGGTAATCTTATTGAAATAAATCATAACATTACATAAGAGCAGATCTTTTTCCAATAAAATGTCTCTAATACAGTTATCTAGTTAATACAGGCCTAATACCATGATAGGCTTCTATTTCTTCCACTGTGACATAACACATTATAATCTGGCTGAATTGAACAGAGTGAGATATCAGTCGACCAGCCTTTCTTTCCAGGTAACGGAGGTTGTCTGCTAGAGTGGGTGACATGGTAACCACAGAGGGATGGAACATTCATAACTTCAGAAAGATGTGTGAACACTCACTTTCAGCAGCGTGAGGATGTGGTCGTGTGCCAAATAAAGATCACATGATGACAAACGCAGGTTAATGCCCTGCACATGACTATGCAGTACATACACGCACACACACAGTCAGTGTGTTCTCAGAGTCTACAGTCAGACAGGACTGCAGTCAGTCTACAGACAGACAGGACTGCAGTCAGTCTACACACACACACACACAGAGACACACACACACACAGACAGGCACACACACCATATACACATTTTAAACCCCCTATCGTCCTTTGAGACTCCTCTTTCAAAGTCACTGAGATCTCTTCTTCTAGCCATGATAGCCAAAATAAGTGGCGCAGTGCTAGCTGTGCCACTAGAGATCCTGGTTCGAATCCAGGCTCTGTCATAGCCGGCCGCGACCGGGAGACCCATGGGGCGGCGCACAATTGGCCCAGCGTCGTCCAGGGTAGGGGAGGGAATGGCCGGCAGGGATGTAGCTCAGTTGGTAGAGCATGGCGTTTGCAACGCCAGGGTTGTGGGTTCGTTTCCCACGGGGGGCCAGTATGAAAATGTATGCACTCACTAACTGTAAGTCGCTCTGGATAAGAGCGTCTGCTAAAATGACTAAAATGTTTAAAAAAATAATGGGCAACTGGGCATTTTTATACATGACCCTAAGCATGATGGGATATTAACTGCTTAATTAACTCAGGAACCACACCTGTGTGGAATCACCTGCTTTCAATATACTCTGTGTCCCTCATTTACTCAAGGGTTTCCATTATTTGGGCAGTTCCCTGTATGTTGATGGTGAGTAGGGCATGATGGGATCTCTGGGGGCAGAATATCACAGCTGTTCCTGTCTATTGATCTGAACACAAGCTCAGAACATAGAACTCATAGAACTGAAGCTCAGAACATAGAACTCATAGAACTGAAGCTCAGAACATAGAGAATAGAACATAGAACAGCCCATATGGGGCTGATGATGCAACCATAGATGGTCCTCTGTAGCTCAGCTGGTAGAGCACGGCGCTTGTAACGCCAAGGTAGTGGGTTCGAACCCCGGGACCACCCATACACAAAAAAAAAATGTATGCACGCATGACTAAGTCGCTTTGGATAAAAGCGTCTGCTAAATGGCATATTATTATATATTATTATAGAGCTCGTAATATACCAATATTGAGGGTTTGATTCCCGCAATGGCCACACGTACTGAGTCCAGGCCCTAGACTAGAACAGAAAGAGCCTCCAGTCCTGAATACAGGCCCTAGACTAGAACAGAAGGATCCTCCAGTACTGAGTCCAGGCCCTAGACTAGAACAGAAGGATCCTCCAGTACTGAGTCCAGGCCCTAGACTAGAACAGAAGGATCCTCCAGTACTGAGTCCAGGCCCTAGACTAGAACAGAAAGAGCCTCCAGTACTGAGTCCAGAGCCCTAGACTAGAACAGAAGGATCCTCCAGTACTGAGTCCAGGCCCTAGACTAGAACAGAAGGATCCTCCAGTACTGAGTCCAGGCCCTAGACTAGAACAGAAAGAGCCTCCAGTACTGATTCCAGAGCCCTAGACTAGAACAGAAAGAGCCTCCAGTACTGAGTCCAGGCCCTAGACTAGAACAGAAAGAGCCTCCAGTACTGAGTCCAGAGCCCTAGACTAGAACAGAAAGAGCCTCCAGTACTGAGTCCAGGGCCCTAGACTAGAACAGAAAGAGCCTCCAGTACTGAATACAGGCCCTAGACTAGAACAGAAAGATCCTCCAGTACTGAGTCCAGGGCCCTAGACTAGAACAGAAAGAGCCTCCAGTACTGAGTCCAGGGCCCTAGACTAGAACAGAAAGATCCTCCAGTACTGAGTCCAGGGCCCTAGACTAGAACAGAAAGAGCCTCCAGTACTGAGTCCAGAGCCCTAGACTAGAACAGAAAGAGCCTCCAGTACTGAATACAGGCCCTAGACTAGAACAGAAGGATCCTCCAGTACTGAATACAGGCCCTAGACTAGAACAGAAGGATCCTCCAGTACTGAGTCCAGGCCCTAGACTAGAACAGAAAGAGCCTCCAGTACTGAGTCCAGGGCCCTAGACTAGAACAGAAGGATCCTCCAGTACTGAGTCCAGGCCCTAGACTAGAACAGAAAGAGCCTCCAGTACTGAGTCCAGGCCCTAGACTAGAACAGAAAGAGCCTCCAGTACTGAGTCCAGGCCCTAGACTAGAACAGAAAGAGCCTCCAGTACTGAGTCCAGGCCCTAGACTAGAACAGAAAGAGCCTCCAGTAACACTACTAACAGCAGCTATGAATGAAGGTAATAAATAGGCCTACATCCATCCATCCACCCTTGGTCCCACACTACTGCTCTGTTCTGGGTTATCCAGAGGCCAATGGTTTCCTTTAACAGTGGGATCAATGGAAAACTGGCTATGCTGCTGTTTTCCTTCTAGCAGAAATCCTCCTGTTCCACAAGCTACTAGAGCGAACACAAACATAGATCCAGCTTCCTGGGTGACAGCGAGAGGACAGTGTTTCCCCTGGGATTCCCACTGAGGGAGAAACACTCGGCGTGCGTAAACATCCTCAGTACTGCAGCCAACCGTGTGTGGCTTCACTTTCCCACTGCAGCTAAAGCACTGAACACGTCTCTGGGTCTGGAAACCTTGAGCTGGAATGGCGGAGCAGGGAGGAGGATGATGTGTGGCTTATGGGCGTGATGACATGGTGATGGGGTGACACTGAGAATGTGTGCGTGGACCATGATTCACCGTGTCGGACCTTGATAGAGTCCCTGAGGAATTCCAGCGACATCTTGACACTCGTGAACACACACACTAAATACACACTCACTCAAAACATCCCCCCACACACACCTACACCAAGCTAGACACCCACAGCGGACAATGCACAAAGGAATGTTGAGGGTGGAAGGTAGCCTAACGGATAGAGGGTCTCTCAGGGAAATAGGACAAATATAAGCACCCACCTAATTATTATGATGATGATTCCAGTATAAATAGCCCTAGCCTTCCATTCATGGTTCTGAATATGAAGAACAATTCAGCTTGTCACATTGTTCTTAGTGTTATCGACTGGCTTCCTTTAGAATCAAAAGAATAGAAACATACCTGGCTAACCAGTGATGATTGGCTGAAGGAGAGAGACCCTTGACTTTACACTGGCCAGCAGAATGGAACAGATATTAACACAGAGAGAAGAGAGAAGGAGAGAGAAGGAGAGAGAGAAGAGAAGAGAGAGAGAGAGAGAGAGAGAGAGAGATGAGAGAGAGAGAAGCAAACTGGAGATAAGCAGAAAGAATAGCGATAGAGCGAGATCTAGACTCGGAACGAGAGAGACGTCTAGAGCCGAGAGCCAGCTTAGAGCCTTTAGAAGCCGATAATCATGGTACTTATCTGAATTCAAATGTCTCTGATGATCAGGTGCTTCTCGTCACCAACCAAGGAGGGCCTACAGCAGCACCTAGATCTTCTGCACAGATTCTGTCAGACCTGGGCCCTGACAGTAAATCTCAGTAAGACAAAAATAATGGTGTTCCAAAAAAGGTCCAGTTGCCAGGACCACAAATACAAATTCCATCTAGACACTGTTGACCTAGAGCACACAAAAAACTATACATACCTCGGCCTAAACATCAGCGCCACAGGTAACTTCCACAAAACTGTGAACGATCTGAGAGACGAGGCAAGAAGGGCCTTCTATGCCATCAAAAGGAACATAAAATTCGACATACCAATTAGGATCTGGCAAAAAATACTTGAATCAGTTATAGAACCCATTGCCCTTTATGGTTGTGAGGTCTGGGGTCCGCTCACCAACCAAGAATTCACAAAAATGGGACAAACACCAAATTGAGACTCTGCATGCAGAATTCCGCAAAAATATCCTCAGTGTACAATGAAAAACACCAAATAATGCATGCAGAGCAGAATTAGGCCGATACCCACTAATTATCAAAATCCAGAAAAGAGCCGTTCAATTCTATAACCACTTAAAAGGAAGCGATTCCCAAACCTTCCATAACAAAGCCATCACCTACAGAGAGATTAACTTGGAGAAGAGTCCCCTAAGCAAGCTGGTCCTGGGGCTCTGTTCACAAACACAAACAGACCCCACAGAGCCCCAGGACAACAACAACAACACAATTAGACCCAACCAAATCATGAGAAAACAAAAAGAGAATTACTTGACACATTGGAAAGAATTAACAAAAAAACAGAGCAAACTAGAATGCTATTTGGCCCTAAACAGAGAGTAGACAGTGGCAGAATACCTGACCACTGTGACTGACCCAAACTTAAGGAAAGTTTTACTATGTACAGACTCAGTGAGCATAGCCTTGCTATTGAGAAAGGCCGTCGTAGACAGACCTGGCTCTCAAGAGAAGACAGGCTATGTGCACACTGCCAACAAAATGAGGTGGAAACTGAGCTGCACTTCCTAACCTCCAGCCAAATGTATGACCATATTAGAGACACATATTTCCCTCAGATTACACAGACCCACAAAGAATTCCAAAACAAATCCAATCTTGATAAACTCCCATATCTATTGGGTGAAATACCACAGTGTGCCATCACAGCAGCAAGATTTGTGACCTGTTGCCACAAGAAAAGGGCAACCAGTGAAGAACAAACACCATTGTAAATACAACCCATATTTATGTTTATTTATTTTCCCTTTTGTACTTTAAGTATTTGCACATTGTTCCAACACTGTATATAGACATAATATGACATTTGAAATGTCTTTATTCTTTTGGAACTTCTGAGTGTAATATTTACTGTAAATATTTATTGTTTATTTCACTTTTGTTTACTTCACTTGCTTTGGCAATGTTAACATACGTTTCCCATGCCAATAAAGCCCTTAAATTGAAATTGAATTGAGAAAGAGAGAGCTCAGCAGAAGGCCGAGATGATGCGGTTCCACATCAAACAGAGCGCAGGCTAGAACACCAACCACTGGGCTGTGTATGTACAGTGTTGCTGTATATATGATGATGTCACTGTACTGTACTGTACCTGCGTATGCGCGGTGGTTTGGGGGGCGGTGTGTCCCATCTCTCCTCGTCTGAGTGGGGTCCAGCTCTCTCTGGGCTGAGCCCCTCGTCCTGAGGAGGAGAAGAAACAGAGGGATTCAAAAAAAGATAAGAGAACTTTAGCTAATGTACCGTTTATCATTCGGGTCTGTCTGCACTGGTTCTAATAACAGCAAGGCAACATGGTTTCCAGTCCTGTTCATATCATCACTGGGGTTTCCTATACATAGTCCCAGGGGCTGGCTGTGTACTCACAGTCCATTTTAAACAGTATGTGTGTGTGCAGCGTCCATTTAAAATAGAGGCTAGCTGAGAAATCTATATCGAACACGATGAGGTAAGGTCAGCTCAGGTCACCCTGGTCATGTGTGCCAGTGTGTGTGTAGTGTGTAGTGTGTAGTGTGTGTGTTGTTCCTGCTATTGTCCCATGCTCCTGTTCATTAATAGGGAGATTATACTGGGTAGTCTGTGTCCAAACATTATTTATGTGTAAAAGCTCAGTTAGTGTTCATCTGTTGCTAGCTAGTTGCTACATATAGCCAACAGTGGGACTATACATGTGTCTGTATAGACATGATTACAGTACACAGAATACATATAGCCTAATACACAGTAGTCCATATAGCCTAATACACAGTAGTCCATATAGCCTAATACACAGTAGTCCATATAGCCTAATACAACAGTAGTCCATATAGCCTAATACACAGTAGTCCATATAGCCTAATACACAGTAGTCCATATAGCCTAATACACAGTAGTCCATATAGCCTAATACACAGTAGTCCATATAGCCTAATACACAGTAGTCCATATAGCCTAATGGTATCCTCTGTGTGTGCTGCTGTGTGTGTTTACTTGAGTGTGCTGCTGCAGTGTGTTTATGTGCACGCTAATGTGTGTGTAAGTAAGTCTGTGTGTGTGTGTGTGTGTGAACGCTGCTGTGTGTGTGCTGCTTAGTGTGTGTTGTTCCAATATATTCTCTTTCTCAGATGTGTGTTCTCTATTCTCAGGCTGTGGGAGAGGAACAGGGGAGGAGAAGAGAGAGGAGGAGAGGAGAGGAAGAGGGAGAGAGGAGGAGAGAAAGCGAGGAGAGGGAGAGGGGACGAGAGGAGCATGATGTCACAGTTTTCCTAAACAGGACGTCAGCCACAGCTCCTGGCCACGCTGCAGAAAAAAAAAAAGAGAGAGAAAAAAGGAAGAGAAAGCGAGAAGAAAAAAAGAAGAAAGAAAGAGTCCTCTCCCTTCCCTCTATCCTCTCTCCCTCCCTCCTCCCTCCATCCTCCACAAATCTAGAACCATGCAGTATCCTCCCATTTCTCTCCTTTCTCCTCCTTCATTCATTTTCTCTCTCTCCCTTCCCAACTCCATCTCTCTAATCTTGTGACTTGCTAAGTTAGTATTCACTCTCTCTCGCTTGGCCTCTGTTCGCCATAGTGGAGTAACATCCTGTCTTTCTTTAGCTTCGGACACGTCTTGGTGTGTGTGTGTGTGTGTGTGTGTGTGTTGTGTGTGTGTGTGTGTGTGGTGTGGGTGTGAGAGGAGCGTTAGAGTCATGTTTCTGTGCTGATTATAGTCTAGTACAATCCCAGCCAGAGTGAAAATATGTGTCTATGTGTTCTGCCAGACAGATGTCCTGTAGGGAAGCAGAACTGGACAGAGAGGACCCAATTAAAACAAATGGGTAGAATCTCACTCCATCTCTTCCTCTCTCTCATGCTCCTCCCCCCTCTCACCTCTCTACCTCTACAGTCTATTCCTTCTTTCTCTCTCCCTCCCCCCTCACCTCTCTACCTCTTCAGTCTATTCCTTCTTTCCTCTCGCCCCCTCAACCTCACTCCGCACCTCGTCAGGCTATCCTTCTTCTCTCCCCCCCCCTCACCCTCTACCTCTTACAGGGCTATCCTTCTTTTCGTCTCTCCCTCCCCCTCACCTCTCTACCATCTTCAGTATCCTTCTTTCTCTCCCTCCCCCCTCACACTCTCGTAACCTCTTCAGTCTATTCCTTCTTTCTCTCTCCTCCCTCACCTCTTACTCTCTGGCGCGACCAGGCTGCTGTGCAGCAGGCGCGACGCGCGCAGCAACCTACTCAAGACGGAAGGAAGAGTCAACACAGTTCTCTCCCGCCCCCCCTAGCGCTCTCTACTCTTCGCTCTATTCCTTCTTTCTCTCTCCCTCCCCCCTCACCTCTCTACCTCTTCAGTCTATTCCTTCTTTCTCTCTCCCTCCCCCCTCACCTCTCTACCTCTTCAGTCTATTCCTTCTTTCTCTCTCCCTCCCTCTATCTCTCTGGCGCTACAGGCTGCTGTGACAGCAGGACGAGAGGAAGAGGGAGGAAGAGAGAGAGAGAGGAAGAGAGAGGAAGAGAGCAACACAGAGTTCTGCCACCCCTTGAGGCCAGTCAAATTCTTCGAACACATCTGTGTGTGTGTGTGTGTGTGTGTGTGTGTGTGTGTGTGTTCACAGAACTTTCTGACCAGCCCATCTGCTCAGTGAATCAGCCTGGAAGCTTTTGTTGTTGTGAGTTAACATTTCCTGGAGACAAAAAGTACAGTGTGTTTAAGACAGAGAGAGAGTGTGTGTGTGAGTGAGTGTGAGAGAGGGAGTGTGTGTGTGTGTCCGGTGGGGGGGGGGGGGGGGGCAACATGGCCAGCCGTGCTGTTTCTGAGGAGGAATTTGGAACCTGAAGCACTTCAGAGGAAGACAAACATTTCTTACTGTTGTGGGGGAGTGAGTGTGATGGGGTGTTGTGACAAGGGGAGGAAGAGGCAGAATATTGTCTAGCTAGAGTGGTTATGTAATCTAGGTAGAGTTGTCAGGTATTTGGGAGGTATTGGGGTTCTTGTCCGAGGTAGAAATGTCATGTTATATGTGGTGGTGCTGTAACGTCATGTTATATGTGGTGGTGCTTAACGTCATGTATATGTGTGTGCTGTAATGTCATGTTATATGTGGTGGTGCTGTAATGTCATGTTATATGTGGTGGTGCTGTAATGTCATGTTATATGTGGTGGTGCTGTAATGTCATGTTATATGTGGTGGTGCTGTAATGTCATGTTATATGTGGTGGTGCTGTAATGTCATGTTATATGTGGTGGTGCTTGTAATGTCATGTTATATGTGGTGGTGCTGTAACGTCATGTTATATGTGGTGGTGCTGTAACGTCATGTTATATGTGGTGGTGCTGTAATGTCATGTTATATGTGGTGGTGCTGTAATGTCATGTTATATGTGGTGGTGCTGTAATGTCATGTTATATGTGGTGGTGCTGTAATGTAATGTCATGTTGATATGTGGTGGTGCTGTAATTTCATGTCATGTTATATGTGGTGGTGCTGTAATGTCATGTTATATGTGGTGGTGCTGTAATGTCATGTTATATGTGGTGGTGCTGTAATGTCATGTTATATGTGGTGGTGCTGTAAGTCATGTTATATGTGGTGGTGCTGTAACGTCATGTTATATGTAGTGGTGCTGTAAGTCATGTTTATGTGGTGGTGTGTATGTCATGTTATATGTGGGTGCTGTAAGTCATGTTATATGTGGTGGTGCTGTAATGTCATGTTATATGTGGTGGTGCTGTAATGTCATGTTATATGTGGTGGTGCTGTAATGTAAGGGTGTGTGGTAATGTAGAAAAGGCTAATGGTGTGTAAAGAAATGCTCACATGGCATCGTGGGGCTCTGAGTTAATGGGGCTTGCCAGGAGCTGTAGTGTTGCGTGTGGTAGTGTTGCGTGTGGTAGTGTTGCGTGCGGTAGTGTTGCGTGCGGTAGTGTTGCGTGCGGTAGTGTTGCGTGCGGTAGTGCTGCGTGTGGTAGTGTTGCGTGTGGTAGTGTTGCATGCGGTAGTGTTGCGTGCGGTAGTGTTGTGTGTGTGGTAGTGTTGCGTGTGGTAGTGTTGTGTGCGGTAGTGTTGTGTGCGGTAGTGTTGCGTGCGGTAGTGTTGCGTGTGGTAGTGTTGCGTGTGCGGTAGTGTTTTCGTGCGTAGTGTTTGCGTGCGGTAGTGGTTGTGGTGCGGTTAGATGTTGCGTGTGGTAGGGGTTGCGTGTGTGGTACGTGTTTGCGTGCGGTAGTTGTTGTGTGGTGGTAGTGTTGCATGCGTGTAGTAGTTTGCGTGCGGTAGTGGTTGGGTGTTGTGGTAGATGTTTGCTTGGGGGTAGTGTTGTGTGCGGTAGTGTATGTGGTTGCGGTTAGTGTTGCCGTGCGGTAGTGGTTGCGTGTGGTAGTTGTTGCGATGTGCGGTAGTGGTGCGTGCGGTTATGGGTTGTGTGCGGTAGTGTTGCGTGTGGTAGTGTTTGCGTGTGGTTAGTGTTTGCGTTGCGGTAGTGGTTTGTGTGCGGGAAGTGGTTGCGTTGTGGTAAGTGTTGTGTGCGGTAGTGTTGCGTGCGGTAGTGTTGTGTGTGGTAGTTCTCACCATGCCACCATGGATCTCTGAGTTGGTGGGGCCCTCCAGGAGCTGCAGCTGTTTCTCAAAGAGCTGAGAGATGGCTCTGTGGACCAACTCATACTGCTCCTGTAGGGGAGAGAGAGAGAGAGAGAGGGTTGGGGGAGGGAGGGGAACGGGGGAGAGAGACAGAAAGAGGACAGTGAGGCAACACACAACACTGTGAACACAACACTGTGAACACAACACTGTGAACACAACACTTGTATTCATTTTAAAAGGCCCAGATACTCCGTCGATATTACCCTCGACCACGCCCACAAATTGGGGAAAACCAACTCCTTCCTATTGACCTCTATTGTAAAAGAGCCAACTTCGACTTAGATGTGTTGTTATAAAGAGAAAGCAAAACATGCCAAAAAGCTGCTGTGTTGTTCATGTAACCAGGTCAAAAATCCCCACCTCCAGTTCCTGTGGCTTCAGGCTATTCGGCGTGGGAGAGTGGGAAATGTGGGGACACGGTGTCCGAGTACACTACACGTATCTATGTGTGTGGAAAACATTTCATCACAGGTAAGACATTTAACTTGTTTAGTACAGTCCGTTTGTAACTCCACTCACTACATTGTGGCTGCTAGCACTGTCATGAAGAGAGGCATGAGGGAAGCCCTACCATATTATGTTTCTCTAAGTAGTGAGAGCGCTCGGGAGAAGGCAATGTTGAAAAGTCATCTTTAGACACGTTTGTCCTTTCCTTCAATGTAGTTCTGTATTTGACTAAAACAAGCAGACAAGAAAATTGCGTTTGAAAAATGTCCCGTTTTTTCCTGTGAGCCAGCGTGGTAAGCACAGGTTGTTTTCCCTTCTACCGAATACCGGCTAGGACTCTACAGCAGCACACAACACTATGGAGACAGCACTCGTATTCATATTAAAACCATGTTTCCCTTCTACCGAATACCGGCTAGGACTCTACAGCAGCACACAACACTATGGAGACAGCACTCGTATTCATATTAAAACCATGTTTCCCTTCTACCCAATACCGGCTAGGACTCTACAGCAGCACACAACACTATGGAGACAGCACTCGTATTCATATTAAAACCATGTTTCCCTTCTACCGAATACCGGCTAGGACTCTACAGCAACACACAAACACTATGGAGACAGCACTCGTATTCATATTAAAACCATGAGACCCAGACACAGCCAAATGCAGATTGACACACTGTAGACAAAGACTTCAGTGGTCATTTTGATCACAGGCACATTACCTTGGTCTGAACAGCAGAATGTCACATTACCTTGGTCTGAACAGCAGATTGCCACATTACCTTGGTCTGAACAGCAGAATGTCACATTACCTTGGTCTGAACAGCAGAATGCCACCTATCCTTGGTCTGACCAGCAGAATGTCTACATTACCTTGGTCTGAACAGCAGAATGTCACATACCTTGGTCTGAACAGCAGAATGTCACATTACCTTGGTCTGAACAGCAGAATGTCACATTACCTTGGTCTGAACAGCAGAATGTCACATTACCTTGGTCTGAACAGCAGAATGTCACATTACCTTGGTCTGAACAGCAGAATGCCACATTACCTTGGTCTGAACAGCAGAATGTCACATTACCTTGGTCTGAACAGCAGAATGTCACATTACCTTGGTCTGACCAGCAGAATGTCACATTACCTTGGTCTGAACAGCAGAATGTCACATTACCTTGGTCTGAACAGCAGAATGTCACATTACCTTGGTCTGACCAGCAGAATGTCACATTACCTTGGTCTGAACAGCAGAATGTCACATTACCTTGGTCTGAACAGCAGAATGTCACATTACCTTGGTCTGAACAGCAGAATGTCACATTACCTTGGTCTGAACAGCAGAATGCCTCTGTGTTCTCATCTCCTGAATCAGCCGGAACACGTTGAAGTCTTCTGGAATCTTCTACAAACCAACAAGAACAATACACTCAGTGGTCTATCTATGCTCCTGGAAACAGCAAAGGCAATACGTTGAGTGTGTGTGTGTGTGTGTGCGTTTCATACTGTACGTACCCCAGCCTTTAGTAGGTTCCACGTGTAGTCTATAGCACAGATGGCTCCTGTCCTCCCACAGCCAGCACTGTCAACAAACAACAACAATCAGAAAGAAACAGCCTAGAGACACAGACTACATCTCACAGCTTCCATTAGGCTTGGTGGCTTTACACCAGGAGCTAACATTCACAGTGTGTATATTCTAAGCTACGTTATATGTTCACACACTTAACAGCCTATGAAAAAAACATCCTTAAGCCCCCCCCCCCGGCCCCCAACATCCCCGTCTCCGGCTCCCCTCCATTCTCCCACGGTAGTGAGCAGTGAATCCCCAGGGCCAGTAGAGAGGAACAGAGGGACAGACATGTGGCTCCAATCAGCCTTATGATGCTGATAATGAGGGGCCTGAAGGGACTCGTTGACGTTCATTAATGGAGGAGCAGAAATCAAAGAGCTGAGCTGGTCGTTTGGAGAGCGACCCCCACAGACCTCCGCAGCTGGGCCTGGGCCTGGGATGTGTGTGTGTGTGTGTGTGTGTGTGTACCTGCAGTGTATACAGATGGGTACGTCATCATGCTCCTGGTACTCTCTCATCAGACCAATCATATCCAAGATGGAGTCAAAGGATGAGGGGACGTCATGGTCTGGCCAGTTGATGTAATGGAACTGGGTTATCCTCCTTGTCTCCTGTAGGGAGGGAGGGGGGAGAGAGGGGGAGGAGGGAAGGGAGAGGGAGGAGGGAGCGAGAGAGAGAGGGAGGGATGGTGGAGAGGGAGAGAGGAGAGAGAGAGAGTGAAAGAGAGACAGAAGTGAGAAGTGATAGAAAGAGGAAGGGAGAGAGAGAGAAAGGGGGAGAAAGAGGATATGGTTTCCAGAAAGAGCAGATTGATGTCTTGTGCATGATGAAACTGAAAGCCTATTGTCTATCTGTCTGTGGGGAAGAGAAGAGAACTACTCACATTTTCATGCTCCACTGTCAGGGTCCTGATGAAATAGTCGGTTCTAGGCTGTTCTGATTCCTGCCAGCAGAAATAGAGGAATGAGCCTAACTGTACGGTGTACAATATTATAGGCCTCATCAGTTTCAAAAAGCAACGCTTCAGAAAACATGTGATCAGTTGAAATGTTTTATTGTTGAATAACAACAGACTAAGTCCCTACTCTACTTGTTACAATGAGCCTTTCTACAGCAGCTACTTCTGACTGTGTGTATTGGCTTGGGACACAGAGAACACTGAGTGCCTTCAGTTGGTCAAAGGCCACGGTCTGCCTCTTTATATACAGTCCTGTCTGGCCCTCTGTTTGCCTGTTACACTGAGGACAGCTTACTGGGCTCTGTGTGTGTGTGTGTGTGTGTGTGTGTGTGTGTGTGTGTGTGTGTATCAAATGTATGCACTCCCTTCACATGAATACTGCATACTCCATATGTAATAACACAGCCACTGTAGTTCCCACTTAGCCCTTCCATACTGGACAGCACACTAACCCCAGAGCATGGAGCTCCACCGTCTCTGGAGAACAGGTCCATCACTGTAGAGCACTGTAGCTAAAGAGGGCACTTTAAAATAGCTCTTCCCTTTAATATGAGGCTCTGCATAGCTGGAGGATGAGGTAGCTTTAGCTCAGTAAATAGAATGGAGGTGTGTGTGTGTGTGTGTGTGTGTGTGTGTGTGTGTGTGTGTGTGTGTGTGTGTGTGTGTGTGTGTGTGTGTCTTACACAGGAGATTCTGAATGGGCCAAAAGACATGGGCTCATCGCCAAACAGGGGAAAGTACCGCTCACACTTTTTCTAAAAGGAAAATAGGAAAAATACACGTTAGCATTTCAGAGGCTTTCTGTCAGTTTCAAAACCTGAACCACATTCTCCACAAAATAACATATGAAACTCTCTCTATCTCTATCAAACATATGAAAGAGGGAAATATGAAAACACTTCAGCATTATCAACATAAATATCTTACTCTACACACTGAAGGGCTCTTCGTGTGAAATCAATAGTGAAAGTGGTTTCTTTCATATTACTATAGCATAATACCATACGGATGATGTCTTAAGGATCAAACCACTTACCCTTCCCATCTCGAATTCTCGACATGCCATTACGATGACCTGCAACATCGGAAACGGAAAGGTTTTCAATTTACATCACGCTAGAAAACATTTACATTCCAATAAGTGTATTCTGTACCATCCCATGCTAATAAACCTGACACACAGGATATGCTATTATAAACACATTAACACCCAAAACAAACAGTACTTCCTAGGAATTACAGTCTCAAAGAGCCGTGTCAGAAACAGTGTGTGAGTGACTCACGGCTACATTGTACTCCCAGATCATTCTCCAGAAGTCCATGACAGTGTTGGGTAGAGGACCCTGGGTAGCGATGTAAGCCTCTGGACCATCCATTCCCTGGTAACACAACACAACTCATATTAGAGGGATGGATGAACTAACACACAGTTAGTTTAGTGAGAGGACAAGCAGAGGAGGAGAGGGAGAGGAGGAGGAGGGAGGAAGAGGAGGAGTGAGGAAGAGGAGGTGGAGGAGGAGGGGGGAAGAGGAGGATGGAGGAGGAGGAGGGACGGAGGGAGAGGAGGAGGGAGGAAGTGGAGGAGGGAGAGGAGGAAGAAGGAAAACACACTCAGACACGTTTAGTCAGGCCAGCCTGTTGGTAGGGTGTAATTGATCACCTTGTGTGACCCAGCTGAGAGTCATTAGCTTCCACACAGTGTGCAGGTTGCTTTGCTACACTCCACATGACTATCACCTGGAAGACCCTCTGTCGCCTCTAGCTACTAAACAAAACAACATGTTGTGGACTAGGTGTCCAATAGCTACGTGTTAACATTCTCTATCCCTCATCATTCCTTCTGGTCTATTTAAAGTGTTGACCGCTGACTGGACAGACAATCAGGGTGAAACTGAAGACGTGCTGCTGCCATGTTTGTGGACCTGTAAGCTTATCTCCGCACATCCGCTTCCGTCCCTCCCACACACACACACACACACACACACACACACACACACACACACACACACACACACACACACACACACACACACACACACACACACACACACACACACACACACACACACACACACACACACACACACACACACAACTGAGCGGAAAAAGGCTGTGTAAGCCGTGGGATGGCAGATGGGTGAGGTCACACACACCATGCAGTCACGGGTCTGAGGTGTGTAGAAAGCCAACTGTACCTTGATGAAGCTGGCATTGATGTAATCTGCATCCTGATTGGTTGTTTTTAAAGTCAGCTTTACCCTCGTGTGGTCAACTGTGGGAGAGAAGAGGATACGTGTTAGAGAGAGAGAGAGAGAGAGAACAGAGAGTGATAGGAGAGAGAGAAAGAAAGAGAGAGAATGAGAAAGAAAGAGAGAGAGAGAGGAGAGAGAGAGGAGAGAGAGAGAGAGAGAGAGAGAGAGAGAGAGAGAGAGAGAGAAAGTGAGTGAGAGAGAAAGTGAGTGAGAGAGAAAGTGAGTGAGAGAGAAAGAGCGACAGATTAGAGGGAATAAAGATTGAAAGGATGTGGCTGGTAAACAGAACAAATAAATCATGTAAAATGTTTCCAGCATTGTATAACAATAATACCGTATAAACCCTCTATATTTAACTGTTCCATCTGTAGCCTCCATCCATCCCATCATTGGAGGTATGATGTTCTGAATTAAGAGGCAGAGGGGCTTCAGATGACAGATGTTAGTATCCTGTAAGATGGCCTCCATGATGCCATGTTGTTCTAGTAGAGAAGAGGGGGGTGGGGCAGAGAAGATGTGTGTGTGTGTGTGTGTGTGTGTGTGGTGTGTGTGTGGATGCTATGTTGTCGGGTAGAAAGGCCAAGAGGATGTGTGTGTGTGTGTGTGTGTGTGTGTGTGTGTTGTGAGGGGCTGTGGCCAGAGTTGATTTTTCCAGTCCACTCAGAGCCCTGCTCTCTCTGCCCTCAGGCCTGTAGCATTAATGGGATTCTCTCCAGTAATATCCATCTATCCCCCTGGCTCTAAAAGCCATTAGAGAGGCCACACACACACACGATTACATACACGGCAGGATGTCTTTATAGCGGTTCTTTTTCACATTCTCTTCCTTTTCCCCAACGATGGTGGGGTAGATCTTCTCTGTCCTGTATTTGGTCGATAATCTTCGTAATCTCTGCAGGGAGAAAAAAACAACAAGAGAGAAATTGTTATTATGACGATGTCTGCTTTAATATGACTTCTGTGTTTTTCTGTCTACCTCCTATAGAGAGCCATGTAGTGGAGGAGTAAAAGGAGGAGGCATCCCAAATGGCACCCTATTTCCCTTTATAGTGCACTACTTTTGACCAGAGTCCTCTAAAGGGAATAGGGTACCGTTTGGGACACATCCGTTAGGGGGGGGGGGGGGGGGGGTGTGTATAGTGTGGGATAGCATCAGTGATTGATGGTCAAGAGAAACGTTAGAGGGACGTTGTACAATCCAGTCATATTTCAGTGTCATAAGAACGCCTCCCAGAGATCGTATCGGCGCCCACCCATGAGGTTAAGGATCTTGAAGAGATCCTATTTGACTACCCACGACCCTCTCCGGCCCCCCTAATAGCCCTGCAGAGACCAGCCCACCTAGACACTATCCAGTAGCTAACAGTTTAGGAATGCCCTAGTCCCCCTCGTGCAGCTCCACGACGCTACCTCGCCCCTTAGTGCTTCCTATGGAGCTTCTCACACAGCTCCATCTCTGGCTTCATTGGGAACTTCCAAACTCTCACGACAGCACCCTTGATCTCCAAGCTGAGGCCCTTAATTCAACTCTGCCCTCCAGCTTCCAGCCCCGCTCTGAGGCCCAGCCCCGCTCTGAGGCCCAGCCCCGCTCTGAGGCCCAGCCCCGCTCTGAGGCCCAGCCCCGCTCTGAGGCCCAGCCCCGCTCTGAGGCCCAGCTGCCCCAGTATTAATTACAGTGACAGTGTGTCGTTCAGCTCCACTCTAGCAGGCCACATATTCCTCAGGGACAGAACAGTAATGAGATGCTGCTTCAGCACATTAGCTCAAGGGATAAAAAGTAGTTTCTGCAAGCGTGCACACTCATACATAGACACTACACACTCGCTAGAAACACCACACACACACCCTAATTAGGAACTAAGCTTAAGAGGGTGTTGATGGAAGCTTCTCAAGATGTAATTACTAGTGACATTAATCAAAATAAAAGACATTGAAGCAAATGGTCTAATAATTAGCGGCCATTTTTCCATGACATGCACTGCTGCTGAGGCTGCACTTGAAGGAGCGGCCTAGTAACAGAGAGGATGCTGGTAACAGAGAGGATGCTGGTAACAGAGGATGCTGGGAACAGAGAGGATGCTGGGAACAGAGAGGATGCTACTTCACTGTAGTTCTCAACTATAAGAGCCAATCTCCCCCCCCCCCCTCTCTCCATCCATCCCTCCCCCTACCTCCCCCCATCCCCCTCCCTCTCTCCATCCCCCCCCCCATCCCTCTCCCTCTCCATCCCTCCCCCCTCTCCTCTACATCCCTCCCCCTCTTCTCAAACTGAGATAAAGCAACGTGGGCGTGCGGTAGCCGGGTTTTGGGGGATCGTGTGAAACTTCAGCCTCCCCCTCTTTTTCCCTCTTTATAAAAAGAACACGCTACCCTAGCTGTGGCCTACAAACTCAACAGCTACAGTGACTACTGTCGTGGTCATCTGGTGTTGTAGTGGGTGTGGGTGTTGGAGTGGTTGGGTGTGGGTGTGGGTGTTGTAGTGGGAATGGGTTTGGGTGGTGGAGTGGTTGGGTGTTGTAGTGGGAATGGGTTTGGGTGGTGGAGTGGTTGGGTGTGGGCCTTGTGGTCCAGCCATGGCTCCAGCCAAGTTGAAGTTTTAAGTCCACCTACCAAGCCCTTTTGTATCTGAATAGCAACGCCCCACCTCAAGCGTTAGGGTAAGCGTACCTAGACTTTGTCATGCGGAAACAGAATCAATAGAGCATCTCTTTTGGTACTGTCCATCGGGGGCTTGTTTTTGGAGTCAGGTCCAGGAATGGTTGTTATGCCATAATATCAGGGTGCAGTTGGACCTGCAAACTGTATTGTTGGGGATTTGAAGTCAGTCAATAGGAAATATTGTGCTCTTGGGTAAAATGTTAATTTTGGGGGCAATTTGGGCAGAAATGTTGCAGATGGGGAGGTTCAAGTCCCTAGTGAGACTGGAGGGATGATTGGCAAGAGAACATGGTAGAATGATGCTTTACTGGGAAAGATGGGTTGATATGTGGCTGTCTGAAGGGTGGAATTGATGAGTGTTGGAATAGTTACGTATATACACAAATGTACAGTAGAAATGTTTGAGGTCCTCCAAATCAGGGGTTAGGGTGGGGATGGGACTATTGTATGTTTTGCGTTTCGCCATTTATGATTTGTGGTTTGGCTTCATGCTGTGAGCGGTGTGTCTGCTGGTCCTGGTAGTTTCATGCTGTGAGCAGTGTGTCTGCTGGTCCTGGTAGTTTCATGCTGTGAGCAGTGTGTCTGCTGGTCCTGGTAGTTATGGGAAGTTTCATGCTGTGAGCAGTGTGTCTGCTGGTCCTGGTAGTTTCATGCTGTGAGCGACATGTGTGTGCTGGTCCTGGTAGTTTCATGCTGTGAGCGGTGTGTCTGCTGGTCCTAGTAGTTCTGGGTAGTTTCATGCTGTGAGCAGTGTGTCTGCTGGTCCTAGTAGTTCTGGGTAGTTTCATGCTGTGAGCAGTGTGTCTGCTGGTCCTAGTAGTTCTGGGTAGTTTCATGCTGTGAGCGGTGTGTCTACTGGTCCTGGTAGTTTCATGCTGTGAGCAGTGTGTCTGCTGGTCCTGGTAGTTTCATGCTGTGAGCAGTGTGTCTGCTGGTCCTGGTAGTTTCATGCTGTGAGCGACATGTGTGTGCTGGTCCTGGTAGTTTCATGCTGTGAGCGGTGTGTCTGCTGGTCCTAGTAGTTCTGGGTAGTTTCATGCTGTGAGCAGTGTGTCTGCTGGTCCTAGTAGTTCTGGGTAGTTTCATGCTGTGAGCAGTGTGTCTGCTGGTCCTAGTAGTTCTGGGTAGTTTCATGCTGTGAGCGGTGTGTCTACTGGTCCTGGTAGTTTCATGCTGTGAGCAGTGTGTCTGCTGGTCCTGGTAGTTTCATGCTGTGAGCAGTGTGTCTGCTGGTCCTGGTAGTTTCATGCTGTGAGCGGTGTGTCTGCTGGTCCTGGTAGTTTCATGCTGTGAGCGGTGTGTCTGCTGGTCCTGGTAGTTTCATGCTGTGAGCTGTGTGTCTGCTGGTCCTGGTAGTTTCATGCTGTGAGCTGTGTGTCTGCTGGTCCTGGTAGTTTCATGCTGTGAGCGGTGTGTCTGCTGGTCCTGGTAGTTTCATGCTGTGAGCGGTGTGTCTGCTGGTCCTGGTAGTTTCATGCTGTGAGTGGTGTGTCTGCTGGTCCTGGTAGTTTCATGCTGTGAGCAGTGTGTCTGCTGGTCCTGGTAGTTTCATGCTGTGAGCAGTGTGTCTGCTGGTCCTGGTAGTTTCATGCTGTGAGTTGTGTGTCTGCTGGACTTGTATTGAGGCGACCCTCAGAAAAACACATTTTTCCCATATTTTTTGTACCGTCTCAGATAAGTGATCATACTTTCTGGGTTACTTTAAGAGATTAATTTACTGATATGCACATGATAGCATATTTCATGGGCATTCATGTTTTTCTTGCCAATTGAAACTGGTTTTTTATGCTAACAGTCCTGCCTGCATGTCACAGTCACACAGTCGCAACATAACTGGATGAACTACAACATGATAATAGATTTCAGGCATTCACAACTTACATTTTTAAATGCATTTTGTCTAATTCTACTGTTAAATTAAACTTGCATTGTTATACAGATTACATTTTAGTAAATTGTACATTTATCTCAGGTGGGCTTAAAGGGTACAGTAGCATAAAAAGCACTGCCTCGGTACAGAACGTAAATGGCAATAAAGCAATGTTGTTCAATATGATCAATACTAACTTTGCATAATATTGTAGTCGATTGTGTATATATTTGTACTCAAAACAATTGGTTTCCAAATATTTTATGAGTAGACTTTGCTATTCTGTGTTCTTCACCATAAATGACTGTTGTTCCAATAAGCCCCAGTATGCTCCTATTAAGCCTGGTTTGCATTGAAACACATGGGGATAGTGTGTTGATATCCCTAATATTGAATGAACATGAGCATAAATAGGTTTTTTGATCAGATTTAAATTGATGAAAACTACAAAAACTAAAGCCATGGTGTCTTTACCAAGATTAGAAACAATTAGAAATATCTGTACCCTCTCCAAGATGAGGGAAAGAGAGAGAGAGAGAAGGGAAGAGAGAGAGAGAAAGAGAAAAAGGGAAAGAGAGAGCGAGAGAGAGCGAGAAAGAGACATGATGATTACCCAAGACCTGTCACAGCTAGCTTTTTTACTCCACCAGCCTCTCTCTGACACTGACAGACCTGCTGGCTGTGGTGAACCTCACCGAACCACGTGGCCTGGCTGACAGAATACTGATATACACTACCTTTCAAAAGTTTGGGGTCACTTAGAAATGTCCTTGTTTTCAAAAGAAAAGCAATTTTTTTGTCCATTAAAATAACATAAAATTGATCAGAAATACAGTGTAGACATTGTTAATGTTGTAAATGGCTATTGAAGCTGGAAACGGCTGCTTATTAATGGAATATCTACATAGGCGTACAGAGGCCCATTATCAGCAACCATCAGTCCTGTGTACCAATGGCATGTTGTGTTTGCTAATCCAAGTTTATCATTTTAAAAGGCTAATTGATCATTAGAAAACCCTTTTGCAATTATGTTAGCACAGCTGAAAACTAGCATTTTTGAGACTAGTTGAGTATCTGGAGCATCAGCAATTGTGGGTTCGCTTACAGGCTCAAAATGGCCAGAAACAAATAACTTTCTTCTGAAACTCGTCAGTCTATTCTTGTTCTGAGAAATGAAGGCTATTCCATGCGAGAAATTGTCAAGAAACTGAAGATCTTGTACAACGCTGTGTACTACTCCCTTCACAGAACAGCGCAAACTGTCTCTAACCAGAATAGAAAGAGGAGTGGGAGGCCCCGGTGCACAACTGAGCAAGAGGACAAATACATTAGACTGTCTAGTTTGAGAAACAGACGCCTCACAGGTCCTCAACTGGCAGCTTCCTTAAATAGTACCCGCAAAACACCAGTCTCAACGTCAACAGTGAAGAGGCGACTCCAGGATGACCTTCTAGGCAGAGTTGCAAAGAAAAAGCCATATCTCAGACTGGCCAATAAAAAGAAAAGATTAAGATGGGCAAAAGAACAGACACTGGCCAGAGGAAGATTGGAAAAAAGTGTTATGGACAGACTAATCGAAATTTGAGGTGTTCGGATCACAAAGAAGAACATTTGTGAGACGCAGACCAAATGAAAAGATGCTGGAGGAGTGCTTGATGCCATCTGTCAAGCATGGTGGAGGCAATGTGATGGTCTGGGGGTGCTTTGGTGGTGGTAAAGTGGGAGATTTGTACAGGGTAAAAGGGATCTTGAAGAAGGAAGGCTATCACTCCATTTTGCAACACCATGCCATACCCTGTGGACGGCACTTGATTGGAACCAATTTCCTCCTACAACAGGACAATGACCCAAAGCACAGCTCTAAACTATGCAATAACTATTTAGGGAAGAAGCAGTCAGCTGGTATTCTGTCTATAATGGAGTGGCCAGCACAGTCACCGGATCTCAACGCTATTGAGCTGTTGTGGGAGCAGCTTGACCGTAAGAAGTGCCCATCAAGCCAATCCAACTTGTGGGAAGTGCTTCAGGAAGCATAGGGTGAAATCTCTTCAGATTACCTCAACAAATTGACAACTAGAATGCAAAAGGTCTGCAAGGCTGTAATTGCTGCAAATGGAGGATTCTTTGACGAAAGCAAAGTTTGAAGGACACAATTATTATTTCAATTAAAAATCATTATTTCTAACCTTGTCAATGACTACATTTCCTATTCATTTTGCTATATTTCCTATTCAAACTCATTTAATGTATGTTTTCATGGAAAACAAGGACATTTCTAAGTGACCCCAAACTTTTGAACGGCAGTGTATGTATGAGAGAACTGAAGGAATAGGCCTAAAAGCATTAAAAGGTGCAGTCTGTGATAGAGAGAGCGTGTGATAGAGAGAGTGAGAGAGAGAGTGAGAGAGAGATCTGCATAGTAAGCAGTAACTTACTACTATTAATATTATTACTATTATTGTTATTACTATTATTATTGTTATTATTATTATTATTGTGATTATTGTTCTAAATAGTAGTGGTACGGTAGTAAGGGTGATGGTAATAATAGCAGTTTAATGATGGTGGTGGTGGTAGTAGTAGTAATGATGATGGTAGTTGTAGTACTGATGTAATGGTGAGGATGACAGTTAATTAGTTATTAGTTAGTTATAGTTTAATTTTCCATGTTTAGCCTTTTATATTGATTATATTTCTACTATTTACTGTTACCATTTTATTGTTGTTATTTATTTTATTATTATTATTATTATTATTATTATTATTATTATTATTTACTACCATTTTATATTATTATTCTTTATTATTTTATTACAATGTATATTGTATACATTGTTGTTTTGGCAATATTGACACAATGTTTTTCCTGCCAATAAAGCAGCTTGAGAGAGAGAGAGAGAGAGAGAGAGAGAGAGAGAGAGAGACATGCGCCCTGACAGTAAATCTCAGTAAGACAAAAATAATGGTGTTCCAAAAAAGGTCCAGTTGCCAGGACCACAAATACAAATTCCATCTAGACACCGTTGCCCTAAAGCACACAAAAACTATACATACCTCGGCCTAAACATCAGCGCCACAGGTAACTTCCACAAAGCTGTGAACGATCTGAGAGACAAGGCAAGTAGGGCCTTCTATGCCATCAAAAGGAACATAAAATTTGACATACCAATTAGGATCTGGCTAAAAATACTTGAATCAGTTATAGAACACATTGCCCTTCATGGTTGTGAGGTCTGGGGTCCGCTCACCAACCAAGAATTCACAAAATGGGACAAACACCAAATTGAGACTCTGCATGCAGAATTCTGCAAAAAGATCCTCAGTGTACAACGAAAAACCCCAAATAATTCATGCAGAGCAGAATTATGCCGATACCCGCTAATAACCAAAATCCAGAAGAGAGCCGTTAAATTCTATAACCACTTGAAAGGAAGCCATTCCCAAATCTTCCATAACAAAGCCATCACCTACAGAGAGATGAACTTGGAGTAAGCTGGTCCTGGGGCTCTGTTCACAAACACAAACAGACCCCACAGAGCCCCAGGACAACAACACAATTAGACCCAGCCAAATCATGAGAAAACAAAAAGAGAATTACTTGACACATTGGAAAGAATTAACAAAAAATCTGAGCAAACTAAAATGCTATTTGGCCCTAAACAGAGAGTACACAGTGGCAGAATACCTGACCACTGTGACTGACCCAAACTTAAGGAAAGCTTTGATTATGTACAGACTCAGTGAGTATAGCCTTGCTATTGAGAAAGGCCGCCGTAGGCAGACCTGGCTCTCAAGAGAATACAGGCTATGTGCACACTGCCCACAAAATGAGGTGGAAACTGAGCTGCACTTCCTAACCTCCTGCCAAATGTATGACCATATTAGATACACATATTTCCCTCAGATTACAGAGATCCACAAAGAATTCCAAAACAAACTCAATTTTGATAAACTCCCTTATCTACTGGGTGAAAAACCACAGTGTGCCATCACAGCAGCAAGATTTGTGACCTGTTGCCACAAGAAAAGGGCAACCAGTGAAGAACAAACACCATTGTAAATACAACCCATATTTATGTTTATTTATTTTCCCATTTGTACTTTAACTATTTGCACATTGTTACAACACTGTATATAGACATAATATGACATTTGAAATGTCTTTATTCCTTTGGAACTTCTGAGTGTAATGTTTACTGTTAATATTTATTGTTTATTTCACTTTTGTTTACTATCTACTTCACTTGCTTTGGCAATGTTAACATACGTTTCCCATGCCAATAAAGCCCTTAAATTGAGAGAGAGAGCGAGAGAGAGAGAGAGCGAGAGCGAGAGCGAGAGAGCGACGGAGAGAAAGAAAGAGAGGAAAAGAGGGAGAGAGAGAGGTGGATAATGTCTTTACCAGGTCTTGTCTCTGTACTTGAAGACTACAGTGTGTGTTTATCTCAGGCCTTCTTGCTGGAGAGGAGAACCGTGCAGTGCTCTGCTCTCTCAGGCATACAGTAATAACATTATATCTATTCTGGTCTCAAGTGGATTACATTTTCATCAGTACAGTACTGATTCTGTTCTGCGGAGGAACAGAAGGGTCAGGGGTCAGACAGCAAACATCACAACACACACAAAGTTTGTGCTCTTACACACACGATCACATACACTCACACACACAGATGCTCAGACACAAAAACACATATATACATTTTCATGCACACACACACACTCACACATCCACCCACGCCACATTGCACTATGCATGTGGAAACACAGTGTGCTAGAAATGGACCATTCCATGTTAGCACCTTCATGTCACCTGCAGGTTTAGAGTTAGGACTTAGCATTCAGTAAACATGGTTACTGGTGCAAGCAGCACGCTCTCAGTCAATCAGAATTGAGCCTGTGTGCTGGAAACAATTGTGAGCAATAGATGTGAGTAAATCAGGTACCGAGGGAGACTAGATGCAGTGTGTGTGTGTGTGTTCTGTTCACCCTGTCTGAAAGACACGGAGTCTGGCTGTTCATTATGATCATGCTGCCGTCTGTCCAGTGGCCCCAAGCCAGTGATGTGTGTGGAGGCGGGCCAGGCGGTAGTCCAGTCCATAAGCTCAGGGCAGGACAGGGTGAGGAGGGGTTGTACTGCAGCAGTGTGGGACCAGGGAGCTACCCTCTGATGAGTTGCAGTTGCCATGGAGCTCTGTGGAACAGAGGGCACACAGGCCTGTTTTCACAGCCTGCCAAGGGAGCTCTCCACTGGGCTGGATCACAAGGCGAGAGGGGGGTGGTGCTGGAGGTTCCTGGCACTTTACAATCTCACCCATCTAACCACATATAGTCTACGTCCTAAATGACATCCTATATAGTGCACTATTTTTGACCAGAGCCCTATGGGAATAGGGTGCCATTTGGGCCTACAACTCCAATGCAGAATTCTGAGAAAGATGTATTGGAGTGGCTTAGTTCAGTTCCAATTTAATTTATCTTTGGATGTCAGCTCTCATAACTGCAGTCATGCAATGCAGGGTCGTTAGAAAAACACTTTCAACATTAAATCTGCCTGGGCCCAAAATACCCGGCTTTAGGCCAAATATTCCCCCCACTGGGGCACAGAGCTGCATGGCTTGTAAAAGTTGAATTATTTTGGTCACAGAAAATGAAAAATCTATCCGACCATATTGTGTTGCATATGAACCCTGAGTCAGACAGTTATGGCATTATGTCTATATAAACAAACTATTTGTCTGTAAAATAAAAGGAGAGTACTCTCTCGTCGGGTTCCAAATCAAACTGCTTTTTAAAAATCTGACCGTTGTCGGTGGAGTCATAAGAAAGAAAACGTTTATTTCCTTTGCTCCTTCCACGCCAGGCCACCATTTTTTAATTGCTCTCTCTTCCGTGGTTACGTAAAAGTTGTGCACACATGAACAGGACGCAAGCACACACACAATGGAGAAGCCCATTGGAGGACACAGTACTAGAGCAAACGGAAACAAAGCAGGAACCAGAGAGAGAGAAACAGAGAGGGATTGAAGGAGCGAGGGGGAGAAATAGGAGAGGATGAACGTCAGAGGTTTTAAGGAGCTCTCAGTAACTAAGTAAAGTGATTATGTTATCTGTCGATCAATTTCCACTAACATAGTCTCACTCCTGGATTACTTTCTGGGCCTGCCTAGTTAGTGAGTGAGTGAGTGAGAGAGACAGAGAGAGAGAGAGAGAGAGAGAATGACAAGGCCAGTAGAAGGATAAAAGAAAGACAGGGAACTATGTCAGACCGATACTAAAGCGCCTCCCCAATACTTTTTTTCTTTTTCACTCGTTCTCCCCCTTCCCTCTCTTTCTTTCTGAACCTCACTAGGCCCCGTCTCAGCCCCGTCTCGGCCCTGTGCAACAGGAAGTGGCAGTGTTGGAGTGAGAGAGCGCGTGAGAGGGCCAGCTTCCTGTGAGCTGCACTACCACTATAATACTTCTCCTTCTGCCGCCAAGCAACAATGGGGGAGACCAGTGACACACAAACACTACCCCTCGTCCCCTCTCCCCCCTGAGCAGACTCACCCCTATCACACATCTGAGCAGCAATGCAAGACGCCACCAGATTTGCCCTCTTCCCCATCCTCTCTTCACGCCTAAACTCAATCTCCTCTGCCACCACGCCTCCTCTCCCCTCTACCATTCCCACATCCTCAACACTCCCCCACCTCCTCTCTCCTGTCCTCAACTCTCCCCCACTCTCTCTCTCACCAGTCCTCACCGCCCCCCTGTCCTCTCTCTCCCCGTCCTCACGCTCCCCCTGTCCTCTCTCTCCACCGCCTCACCGCTCCCCCTGTCCATCTCTCTCACCAGTCTCAAACAACCGCTCCCCCTGTCCTCTACTTCCCCCGTCCTCACCGATCCCCTGTCCTCTCTCTCACCCGTCCTCACGATCCCCATGTCCTCTCTCTCCCCCGTCCTCACCGCTCCCCCTGTCCTCTCTCTCCCCCGTCCTCACCGCTCCCCCTGTCCTCTCTCTCCACCGTCCGCACCCGCTCCCCCTTGTCCTCTCTCTCCCCGTCCTCCACCGCTCCCCCTGTCATCTTCCCCCTCTCCACCCCGTCCTCACGCCTCTCTCCCCCGTCCTCAACGCTCCCCCTGTCCTCAACTCTCCCCTCTGCCCCACCTCCTCTCTCCATCTAATTTCCTCCCTCCGTCTTCACAGTCCCAAATCCCCCTTTCCGCCCACGAGGGGCTGAAGTGAGACGGATCAGGGCGACGCCCTAAAGCTGTGTCTGCCAACATCAAAGACCCCCCCCCTGACACCACCCTCCTCAGAGCTGAGCTGGGACTGGAGATTGGGCTGGGTCCTGTCTCTCTCAGTGGCGTAGCTCAGCTTCCATGGCTAGGCTAAACAATGCAGACGCTGCCTGGCTTACAACAAATGTTGCAAATATTAGCCTACTAGATGATCCTACTTCATCCAAATATTAGCCTACTAGATGATCCTACTTCATCCAAATATTAGCCTGCTAGATGATCCTACTTCATCCAAATATTAGCCTACTAGATGATCCTACTTCATCCAAATATTAGCCTACTAGATGATCCTACTTCATCCAAATATTAGCCTACTAGATGATCCTACTTCATCCAAATATTAGCCTACTAGATGATCCTACTTCATCCAAATATTAGCCTACTAGATGATCCTACTTCATCCAAATATTAGCCTACTAGATGATCCTACTTCATCCAAATATTAGCCTACTAGATGATCCTACTTCATCCATGTTGGAAGAGAAACTTCAAATGTATACACACATAAAGGTGATGGGATATTATTATTGGACGCTATTATATCAATATTTGAATCTATGTGTAAGAAACATACATATATATATATATATATACACATATACATATACACACACACACTACCGTTCAAAAGTTTGGGGTCACTTAGAAATGTCCTTGTTTTCGAAATAAAAAAATGTGTCCATTAAAATAACATCAAATTGATCAGAAATACAGTTTAGACATTGTTAATGTTGTAAATGGCTATTGTAGCTGGAAACGGCTGCTTATTAATGGAATATCTACATAGGCGTACAGAGGCCCATTATCAGCAACCATCAGTCCTAATCCAAGTTTATCATTTTAAAAGGCTAATTGATCATTAGAAAACCCTTTTGCAATTATGTTAGCACAGCTGAAAACTGTTGTGCTGATTAAAGAAGCAATAAAACTGGCCTTCTTGAGACTAGTTGAGTATCTGGAGCATCAGCAATTGTGGGTTCGATTACAGGCTCAAAATGGCCAGAAACAAAGAACTTTCTTCTGAAACTCGTCAGTCTATTCTTGTTCTGAGAAATGAAGGGTATTCCATGCGAGAACTTTCCAAGATACTGAAGATCTCGTACAACGCTGTGTACTACTCCCTTCACAGAACAGCACAAACTGGCTCTAACCAGAATACAAAGAGGAGTGGGAGGCCCCGGTGCACAACTGAGCAAGAGGACAAATACATTAGAGTGTCTAGTTTGAGAAACAGATGCCTCACAGGTCCTCAACTGGCAGCTTCATTAAATAGTAGCCGCAAAACACCAGTCTCTCTCTCTCTCGCTCTCCTTCCCTGCATCTCTCCCCTCCTCTCTCCGTCCCTGCATCTCTCCTCTCTCCTCCTCCTCCTCCTCCTCCCCTCCCTCCCTTCCTCTCTAAATACCTGCCTCAGACAGAGAGAGAGAGCGAGAGCAGGGTAACCTACTTTCCTCCTGACTAAATAAGTATCCACATACCAGTGTGTGTGTGTCTGTGTGTGAGAGAGATAGAGGTGTATGTCTAAATAAGTAACCACTTGTGTTTTCCCTTTTCCTGAATTATTCACAGCCATGTGGCTTTTGTAGGTAGCGCAGGCTGCTTGGCTCAGCACTGCGATCTGATTGGTTATTTTGTACATATGCTGCCTGGCTCAGGATTGTGATAGGTTGAGGTGATGGCTCTGTTCCGGTAGGTAGGCAGAGGTGGTTGGCAGCAGGGGCTATATGTTTCCATGGAAACTACAGGGGGTAACCAGGATGTGTGTGTGCGTGTGTGTGTGTGTGTATGTGGGGGGGGGGTTGGCACACATCCTTGGTCACCTTGGTGCAAGTGGGCACACAAACACACACAGACACACTCAGAAACACACACAGAAACTAGGTCAGTCTCTCTGGCTCTCTACGCTCTACTTCAGCAAAACATCAATATCTCACGTGACTAGCTACTATTCCTAAGACTCATCGTACCACAACCCTGACTGAGGTCCTCAGGCTGACAGACAGAGTCAGACAACAGCAGGGATTTCAACAAACAACCACCACAAGCTTACAACAGTGGAAGTCTTTACGGGACAGAAATAAATGTGTCAACACAAAAACATGGCAGAGGACATAATGTGGAATGTCTCTGTGCTTTCAGCTATCAGAGAGAGCCAATGACAGGCAGAAGGATCAGATGAAACTAACTCCAAGTGCAGTCTGCCCTTGCTCATCAACACTGACCCACAATACACTGGGGGAGAGGGGCCAGGCCCAGAAGCAGTGGGCACTTTGCCACTAGGCCAGAAGGTCAGCCCTAACACACACAGGTGTGTGGGTCCTTATTTAGTCAGGAGGAAAGAAGGTTACCCTGCTCTCTCTCCCTCTCTGTCTGTCTGTTCTGTTCCAGGGAAGGCTCAGTAACTAGTAACACCTTGCTCTGGAGCAACAGCAGCAGGAAGTGGTATGATGGAGGAGAGGACATCCACACAGACGGACAGATGGACTCAGTCAGGCTCCTTAAATCAGAACAAACGCCTCTCAATCTGTCCTCCCATACATACGCACAGTCACACCTCTGGCTGTACCCATAGGATAACATTGCCTAGTCCTATATCTGACTACAGGATAACATGTCCTAGTCCTATATCTGACTAACATAACATGTCCTACCAATCTGACTACGGATACCATGTCCTAGTCCTATATTGACCCTAATAACATGGTCTATATATCTACATGATACTGTCCTAGTCCTATTCTACTCGATAACAGTCATATGACTACATGATAACATGTCCTAGTCCTATATCTGACTACATGATAACATGTCCTAGTCCTATATCTGACTCCATAATAACATGTCCTAGTCCTATATCTGACTACAGGATAACATGTCCTAGTCCTATATCTGACTACATAATAACATGTCCTAGTCCTATATCTGACTACAGGATAACATGTCCTAGTCCTATATCTGACTACATGATAACATGTCCTAGTCCTATATCTGACTACATGATACAGTTAGTCCATATTGACTATAACAGTCCTAGCCTCTATATCTGCTACTGACTAATCATGTCCTAGTCATTCTGACACATGATAAATATCCTAGTCCTTATCTATACTGATAACATGTCCTAGTCCTATAGCACCATGATCAACAGTCCAGTCCTATCTGACTACTGTAATTCCTAGTCCTATATCTGACTACATGGTCCTGCCCCTGACTGCCCAGTACGGCCTGCAGCCCCTACAGCCAGCCCACACCCACACCCATCTGTAGGATTTTATCTGTATAAAATCTATTACATTTTTTGATTGATTCCGTTTAGTATTTTCCCAAATTCCCTTTTCTCCGCTTTTGTTTTTCCAAGTTTCCGTTCAGGTTTTTGCTCTCAAAAATCCAACTTTGTATAGAAAAACAACCAAATTGGATGTTCTAAGTCCACAACAATGTTTAAACCACATAAGGAGACCGCTTTTAAGGTATATGAAAAATGTTATACAATTTGAATTTTGGGTGTAGTTCCCTTTAATTGAACTGAGCGCCAGCCAGAGACCGTTAGGCTAGCGGTGTTTCTGTAGCACTCGTGATTGTTGCTAAACAAATGGCCACTGGATTGATGCAAATAATCATGATATTCTGCCAGGTAGGCATAGGCTACTAAAAAAGTTTTTGGGAAAGCCTTTCCATCTACCAGAAGATGGTTATCATTAGCATTATCGTGTTAGCATTATCGCTAAGGGCTACACAGCGTGTAGACAAGACATACCTGCGCCACACAACACACACACAGGCATTCCTGAGCACTTTCAGAAAGTTGCGGGAAAATACGAATCACTGATGCATTTTGCTCATGCTGCAATACGTAACATTTTGGGCGACCTGACCAAATTCACATAGAAATGTGAGTTATACAGTGGGGAGAACAAGTATTTGATACACTGCCAATTTTGCAGGTTTTCCTACTTACAAAGCATGTAGAGGTCTGTAATTTTTATTATAGGTACACTTCAACTGTGAGAGACGGAATCTAAAACAAAAATCCAGAAAATCACATTGTATGATTTTTAAGTAATTAATTTGCAATTTATTGCATGACATAAGTATTTGATCACCTACCAACCAGTAAGAATTCCGGCTCTCACAGACCTGTTCGTTTTTCTTTAAGAAGCCCTCCTGTTCTCCACTCATTACCTGTATTAACTGCACCTGTTTGAACTCGTTACCTGTATAAAAGACACCTGTCCACACACTCAATCAAACAGACTCCAACCTCTCCACAATGGCCAAGACCAGAGAGCTGTGTAAGGACATCAGGGATAAAATTGTAGACCTGCACAAGGCTGGGATGGGCTACAGGACAATAGGCAAGCAGCTTGGTGAGAAGGCAACAACTGTTGGCGCAATTATTAGAAAATGGAAGATGTTCAAGATGACGGTCAATCACACTCGGTCTGGGGCTCCATGCAAGATCTCACCTCGTGGGGCATCAATGATCATGAGGAAGGTGAGGGATCAGCCCAGAACTACACGGCAGGACCTGGTCAATGACCTGAAGAGAGCTGGGACCACAGTCTCAAAGAAAACCATTAGTAACACACTACGCCGTCATGGATTAAAATCCTGCAGCGCACGCAAGGTCCCCCTGCTCA